TAGGATGGCAGAGCTGCCCTCTTCTGGTTGGCAGCTATCTTGGGCATTTGCACTTGGTCTGTGGCATTGCAGGTGTGTATGGTATCTTAAAGGGAGAGCTTATGGAAGGTCATATCTGATAACTGGGAAATGACAGATGAGCCATGACATACATACCCACTGGATATGCAAAGGAGCTCTCAGTGCTGTTCTCCACGAACATTCATGGTATATGATGGTGTGAAAGCCAGGAATTAAATCTGGCAAGCAGCATGACCTAGACTAAGGGTAGATGGCCCACCAGGCACCATCCTGTTACCTTATTTTATGTCTTTTTTTTTTTTTGAGACAGGGTTTCTCTATGTACTCCTGGCTGTTCTGGAAGTCACTGTGTGTAGACCAGGCTTATCTCAAATGCTCAGAGATCTGCCTGCTTCTGCCTCCCAAGTGCTGAGATTAAAGGTATGAGACACAATGACTGTGAACTTACTGATAACAGTTAACCGAGGCTTAAGAATCAGAGGGAAGGCCAGACGAGGTGACACACACCTTTAATTCTAACACTCAGGGGACCTCTGTGAGTTCAAGGCCAGCCTGGTCTTAAAAAAAAAAAAAAAAAGAATCAGAGGGACCTTTGAGTTTAAGTTATAATGCTCCATCATCCTCTGTGTTTCTCACAGTAGAAATCATGATGGTATGATCAAGTATGAAGGTAAAATATGGGAAAATATCAAGGTTCTAATACCATACAGAGAACAGCCAATGGCAGTTCAATACTGTTTCACTGGAGTAAGTGAAAGGATAGCTTTTCTGTAGGGTTATTTTATTTTTCTAACGTTTTATTGTTAACAAAAATAATCCTTGCCGGGCGGTGGTGGCACACGCCTTTAATCCCAGCACTTGGGAGGCAGAGGCAGGTGGATTTCTGAGTTCAAGGCCAGCCTGGTCTACAGAGTGAGTTCCAGGACAGCCAGGGCTACACAGAGAAACCCTGTCTCGAAAAACAAAAAAACAAAAACAAAAAAAATCCTTCCAATCTGAAAGAAACAATTTATTGTTTCTTGAAACAGGCCATATGTACCCTAGGTCTCAAACTCTGTGTGTTGCTGAGGTAGGCTTTTAGCCCATGATCCTCTCAATTGCTGGGATTACAGTTCTGAGCCAGTATTTCTATTTGATGCTGTCACACTAAGCACTAGGATTTAACAGAAACCAGGGACTTTCAGATTATCGCAGGCCAGATGGAGTGGACTTTCAATGCCAGGTTGTATCCTGGAGAAAGCAGAAATGAGGAAGAGACTCCGGAGTGAAAGAGTATCCAAACCTTTTTAAAAAGGACGCAGGGAACTTGAAAGAGCTGCCAGCAACAGCCAAAGAGGCTGCGGGAAAGGTCGTCTCCCTTTTCCCTGGAGTGTGTCAGGTGGGCAAGAGCCACTGGAAGAGATACTTGCCAGGGACATGGTAAACTGGCAAGGGACAGGCAAGAGCAGTAAAAAACCAGGTCAGGTTTGGAAACAGAGATATCAAGAGAAAAAGATGGAAGGGACAAAACAAGGCGGACAAAGTCGCCTGTGCATTTGGGATGTAGGAAAACTCATTTTAATTATGCTGTCGCCAGGACCCCTGAGGCACACCATGTGTAATGTTTCCCAGCTGTTAATGTCCAATTTAAATCTGAAGTCGGCTGGATGCTTGAGAAGTAAATAGGTACACCTGGTGCACTGATGGCCACAGAACCACTGAGGCACCAGGCACTCACCACGTGCTCACTGGTTAATGCTCTCTGGGCTCCTGGAAGACCTGAGCATTCCACTGACTATGGTAGCATGAAGTCATTAGGAAAGGCGCTAATCTACTATACTACGGCTGTGTCCTTAAAAGACCCGGAGAACACACACACACACACACACACACACACACACACACACAGAGTACCCTTTGAGGCAGAAGGCAAGAGACCTCAGGAGCAATGACCTTGCTCACAACCTTGACTTCCAGCCTTTAGATCACAAAATTAGTTTTTAAAAAATTTATATTTAATGTATATGATGAGTACACTGTAGCTCTCCTCAAACACACCAGCAGAGGGCATCAGATCCCATTACAGATGGTTGTGAGCCACCATGTGGTTTCTGGGACTTGAACTCAGGACCTTTGGAAGAGCAGTCGGAGCTCTTAACTGCTGAGCCATCTCTCCAGTCCCCAATTTTTTTTGTTGGTTTTTTGTTTTTTGAGACAGGGTTTCTTGTGTACCTCTGGCTGTTCTGGACTCACTCTGTAGACCAGGCTGGCCTTGAACTCAGAAATTCACCTGCCTCTGCCTCCCAAGTGCTGGGATTAAAGGCATATGCCACCACTGCTCGGCCCATTTATTTATTTATTTATTTATTTATTTATTTATTTTTAAGGTTTATTTTTTAGGTATACAGTGTTCTGTCTGCATATATACCTGTACGCCAGAAGAGGGCACCAGATTTCACTATAGATGACTGTAGCTGGAAATTGAACTCAGGACCTCTGGAAAAACATGTCTTAACCTCTAGGCCATCTCTCCAGTTCCAAGAGGAGACAATTTTAAGCCACCAAGTCTGGGGCACTTTGTTCTGGTAGCCTTAGCAAACAAATACACTCTGTATCAATTTTATTGGAACAGAAAAAGAATTGAACTTGAGGAAATGTGTGTGCTGGGCTGTTTTGTGGGAAGGCTTGACTTTCCGTACAAACTTGGGAATAGAAGGATGTAAGGGTCATGAGCGGATCGGAGGATGGAGTATGGAGGTGGGGGGTGGGTACAGCAGTGGTGTAGGGCAAAGGGGTTTAACGGAGGCACTAGCATTTTGGGATACTTCCTGCTGAAGTACAGTAACCCCCACCTCTGAGCCACCATGTGGTTGCTGGGAATTGAACTCAGGACCTCTGGAAGAGCAGCCAGTGCTCTTAACCCCTGAGCCATCTCTCCAGCCCGACAGGGTGAGCTTTTTTAAACAAGATAAAAGGGCTGGGAAGCATCCCCAACCCTCCAGGTAAGACAGGGCTCAACCTGGTTCCTGTGGGTAGGGTCTGGAGCACTGCTCTTCTTCCCTTCTTAGCCCTTGCCTTATTGTAACATATATTGGGATCACTGAGAAGAGACAAGGATCAGGGGCATCTGTGCCCTACATCTCTGAGGAGGGCTGCAGGACCCTGGTCCTTCACTTTGAGATTCCTGCCCACGGTTATCTCCTAAAGACACCAACTGTATAGGGGACCAGGTGCTCCTGTGGGTGCCTCCCTCTGGTCTTCTGAAGCATTGCTTCTTAGGGTCTCTACATACCATTGGCTGTCCTGGTAATCTGAAGCAGTCAATGACAAGCTGATTTGGGATCCCTTGGGGTGGCTCCAGAGCACGGGAACTGTGCGGGACTCCAGAGCCTTCAAATCCTTCATTTGCCGTTTTGACTTTAAAGTGTATTGTGCGTATGATGCTGAGAGGGCACACGTGTGGAGGTCAAAGGATGGCTGTGTGGAGTGAATTCTCTCAGTCCACCTTTACCCGAGTTCTTGGGATGGAAATCAAGGCAGTCAGATTTGCTTGGCAAGCACAGTTACTTGCCGAGCAATCTCCCCAACCATTCCTTTACTACGTTCTGAGGAGATCTCTTCCAAGTTCTGTTTCTTTGTTTGTGACAGGGTTACTCTGTAAAACAGAGCCCTAGCTGTCCTTTGTAGTCTAGGCTGGCCTCAAACTCACAGAGATCCCCCCGCCCCCCCCCCCCCCGCCTGGGATTAAAGATGTGCACCAACACAGTCGGCTTCTTCCAACGTTTTTGTTTTTGTGTTTTAAACGTATTGCTATTTCACTTGGGTTTACACTGGTTTTGCAAGCTGATCAGAAGTTTGCATATTTACAATGCTTCCTCTTACTCAGGAAAGAACGCTTTCTAATTCAGCGTAAGCTTCTGTGGCATCCTGCAGTCTAATTTTGGAGTTTCTTACCTGTAGTAACGCAAAAGATTGGCTAAACTTCCCAAGGACTGATGGGTATGACTAAGATTGTGAGCCGCGCCTGCTGATGTAGACTGTTATGGGTATGCTTCACTTTACCCAGACCTCACCACCCTACCCAGACCCGTTATTGCCAGGAAATAGGAAATCCTGCTGAGAACTCAACGTTGAGGGGACCAAGCGTTCACCCTGGGACTGCGGTATGGGGCTGCCGCAGAGTCTGGGAGAACAACCCTTCTCAAACCTCCGCCCGCCGGCAGTCCTTGATCCTGTCCTAGGGCGTGCTTACTCCCCAGGTTCCGCCCACTACGTCCAGCCTTCAGGCCTCTCCTAAAGCCCTTTGTGCCAATCAATGCAGGCCGCACCGTAATCCTGGGCTGGGCCTTGGCCTCGCTCGAGTTACGGCTCACAAGCACATCCCACTACTTTGTTTCCAGACTCCTCTCACGGACAATCGGCTCTCCTTAGGGTGCGCGCACCGCACGCCCCTTGGCCTCGGCTCCGCCTCCAGGCTCCTCCTACACCTCCTGGGACTCTTCCCAGGCTCCGCCCACGGGCCTAGTCCAGGCCCCGTCCGCTAAGCCCCGCCCACGTCCCAGGCTCCTCCCTAAGCCCCCGTCTCTTCCTAGGCTCCTCCCACGGCCCTCCTCGGGTCCCGGGCTGCGCTCACCGCCTCGCCCCGCCCTTCTCGCTCGCCCGCAAGTCCCGCCCCGCTGTTGGCTTGTGGCCCGCGAGGCCTGCGGACTCCAGGTTTAGAGCTTTGCTTCCGACCGCCCGGAAGGTCGGCGGTTCGGTCCCAGCGTCTCAACGATTCTTGAGTTCCTTTTATTGTGCCCCGCGGGCGCGTCCGTTGGAGGCGGCGCGGGCCGCACGCGCGAGGCGAATCTGCCGCGACGAATCGGCGGGCGTGGCGCCGGCGGCCTCGCGAGAGTGCAGCACAGACGGAGGCGGCGCGACGGGCCTTGCGGGCTGAGGGCCGCGGGCAGAGAGCGGGGTGCTGAGCGGCTGGGGGGCCGACGGGGCCCCGCGGCTCCAACATGACGGGCCGCGTCTGCCGCGGCTGCGGCGGCACGGACATCGAGTTGGACGCGGCGCGCGGCGATGCTGTGTGCACGGGCTGCGGCTCGGTGCTCGAGGACAACATCATCGTGTCCGAGGTGCAGTTCGTGGAGAACAGCGGCGGCGGCTCGTCGGCGGTCGGCCAGTTCGTGTCGCTGGACGGTGTGTTCTGCAGCTCGGTATAGGGGTTGCGGGCAGGGCTGAGTGTGCGAGAGGAGTGAGAGGTCGAGGCTGGCGGGGAAACGGAAGCAGATCGTCCTGCGACAGACAGTGGGCAGTCGGACAGGGAAACTGAGGCAGGGCCCGGCCGGGATTTGCAGCCAAGGTTCTCTCCGTGTCCCGTATGCCAGGCGTCGCGGTCTGGTCCAACGGAGGTCGTCGGCCTGGGTCCCGAAATCTGGCAGGCATGATTTTCAGGCTCGCATCTGATGCAGGTTCCGTTTATAGGATTGGCCACTCTGACAGGTGTCATAGCCCTAAGGGCTATGAAGAAGATATGCCTACCCTCAGTTCTCTTCCCAGTCGCCTAAGTCCTTATTTTTTAAAATAAGGGTTTGTTTCCTAACCGTTTAGTGTCGAGTTTAGTGAGTTATACTTCCAACTCTTTCTTTGTGTATGTGATTCACGAAGCAAAAGTTACTCGTTTGACCAAAGGGCTTTCTTTACATTTTGAAGCATTCCAATTTGTTGACTTTTCTTTCTTGAGTGTTTCTTTTGTCAGGAATCTAGGATGTCTTTGTTTGAGTCGCCACATTTGTCTTCTAAAAGTTCTTGTTTACACTTTGATGTGGTTTTGTTTTTATTTTCCGTGTACTGGGGATCTAACCCAGGGACTCTGGCACACTAAACAGTCTCCAGATCTGAATGTCCATGGAAGCTCAGTCCATACTTTGAGTTAAGCCTTGTGATAAGTGGGATGTGTAGGCCTAGATTCCTTTCCTGTGGGTGGAGGTACCGTTTTTCCACACAATTTGCTGAAAGGATTTCTTTTTTTTGTATGGAGTTACAAATTGTTCCTTCCGCAGAGATCATTGTGTGCCCCCCTGTGTGAGTCGGCTTCTGGGTTCTGTCTTGCAGTCATCCTTGCCTTTTGTTTATATTTAGTGTTTTGAGATCAAGAGTTGTGAGCCATCCATCCTTTGCCATCCTTTTTTAGAACTGTACATTTGTAATCTCTCTCCCCTGGGTTGTGGAGTAACTGTATGTATTCTCATGGTTATGTGTACTGTGTGTATGGCTCTGGGGCTGGAACCCAGGTCCTGCCCACACTAAGCAGGTGCTCTGCCACTGAGCTGTATTCCTAGCTTTTTACATTTACATTGAGTTACAGTACTGACAAGTTGTCCAGGCTGTCTTTGAACTTAATCAGTAACCCAGGCAAGCATTGAACTTGGAATCCTCCTGCCTCAGTCTCCTAAGCAGTTCCAGTTATGAGCCCGTACTACCAGACCCATTTTTTTTTTTTTTTGAGACAAGGTGTCCCTGTGTAGGCTGGCTGGCCTTGAACTTTTAGCAGTCTCCCCTGTCTCAGTCTCCTAAGTGCTGGGATTACAAGCATGCACCACCATGCCTGGTGTGGCTGAGTGTGTGTGTGTGTGTGCGCACATGTGTGTGGGCAAACGTGTGTGTGGGCACATGAGTAAGGAGGCCCAAAGTTGGCATCAGGTACCCTCCTTGCTAATTCTACACTTTCCTGAGTCAGAGTCTCTTGCTGAACTTGGAGCTCCTCTTTCCTGGCTACTCCAGCTAGCCAGTTTGCCCTAGGGACTCCCACTCCCAGCCTCCCAATTGCTGGAGTTATAAGTGGCTAACACACCTGACCTGCTTTTATGTGGGTCCCGGGAATCTGAACTTTGGTCATGCCTGCACAGCAAGCATTTAAGCCACTGGACCATCTCCCCAGCCCGTGCGGCAGATTCTTGAATCTGCTGCAAGTTCTAGAAGTAAGCTCACTTGGGGTATTGTTCTTTGGTCATGCTTGTGGATTTTTATCTCTGTTTACTTGGGATATTGGTCTGTAACATCTATCAGCCTTATATGTCAAGGTAATGAGCTCCTGAAACAAGTGAGTTGTGTCCCCCGCCCCGCCTTACCTTCTAGAAGGGACTATATACAAACCATGCTCTCCATTCTCTTTCCCTTTCCTAGCCTCCTTGTATAACTTAAGCTGGCCTCAAACTCATGGTGCTCCAGCTTCAGTCTTCTACACAGCCAGGATGGTAGGTGTGTGCCCGCCACTTCTGGCATCCTTTCTTACTTGAATATTAGGTAGACTTCTCCAGTGTAGCCAGCTGGTCTTAGGGTTTCTTTTTCAGCTTCTGTCATAGTAGTGGCTGTAGTTACATTTCAGATAGTTTCTGACTTGTTCTTGGAATGGGTCATCTAGTTGTGGAATTCATGTGTTAAGCAAGTAGTCTGCACCTGAGCTTTCTTCGTATCTAGCCCATGCTCTATCTGTCTGCAAGGGACTGTAGCAAAGTCCCTTTTCCTTTTGGACGTTGGTGTCTTGTGTTTTTGCCTTTCTGGCTGGTTCACCAGTTTTGTTGATATTTCTAAAACTTTGACTTTGGGTTAACTTTTCCCTTCTGCGTTTCTGCTCCTGTGGTATATTTCACATGTCACATAAGCTCTTATTCTTTGTAGGTGATGTCCCAAGGGTGTTGGCAGGACTGCTATGACAGTGGCTCACATTATTACAGCCTCCTAAGTAGTTGCCAAGATGCTGATGCCGGCTGGAGGAATAAGAGCAGTAGTAACAGGCCATTGCTGGAGCAGATGTCTAGGGCTTTCCTAGGTGCATCCACGCCGTGGTGACAGTGCGTGGAGCCATGGTGGAGTGAGGCTTCACCATGCATCCTGGGAAACCATGCTCAGAGGCATTGAGCAGAAGCTCAGAAGGGCTCTTAGGTGAGATCAAGATATCTCTCCAGAGAGAAGCACTCCGGCAACCAGTCCCCGGGGGCCCTGGGAATGCATTGTGAGGCCATGAATTCGTAGCCTTGGTAGGAAGTGCAGGTTATACAGGAGGGAGGTGTCAGTTGCTTTGAACAGCCATCTTTCAGGTGGCTACCCCTACCACCCCCCCCCACCCCCCGCAATCAGCATGACCACATGGACTGGAAAACAGATGACTTGTCCCAAGACCCTCATCAGTCTTCTTGCCTGTCCTCCAGCTTCGTTGTAAAGTTCTGATTTCTCGTTAGTGACTGTCTTTTTCTAGGTGCCTTTGCGTATAGCAACCTAAGCTGGACACGTAACAGTACTCTATTATATGTGCCTAACGTGAGTGATGGGAGTCCTGCAGCAGAGCTTCCTGGCTCTGGAAACTTAGCACCTATACCTGTAATCAGGTCTTAGAGGTCTTTTCAAGTAGCAGGCATCAGGACCTCGGGCTTAGATTCCAAGTGCCAGGCAGTGAGTAGCTGGCGAAGTTGGGATTGAGCCACACCATGAGAGTCTGGGCTTCCTTTATGAGCACAGTCATAGAAGCAAAGCAGAGTTCCCCATGATGCACGCTCCGGAGCCTGTGCTGTGGCTCTCTGCGGCCTCCCTCTGTCAGTGGCTGGTGACCCCTGTGCTGCTGCATCCTTCTTTCTCAAGGCTTTGAACTACACTTAGAATTGCAGAGAGAGACCATACACCAGGCAGCTTGTGGCACCTGCCTTCTTAGGGTTCATTCGCCCCAATCCTGGGAGCAGTAAACCTCATCCGTAGGCTGGGAACCTCCCTGAGGTTCCAATAATCAGAATTGCTTGTCGTGTTGATGTTGGAACCCAGGGCCTCATGTGCTGAGCTGGTACTCTCCTGCCCACTTGATCAGTTTTTTTCTATGAATGCAAGCTTTATTATTGATATACCTTCGATAGACATAAATCACAACAACCCCCTGCCCCAAAAGGAAGCTGAAAAAACATTAACAAAAGAGCCTACTCAAGGGACTTAGAAATCCTATGACATGCCATCTCTTCTTTGGTGCCCAGAAGAGAGTGTGAGATTCTTCAAGACTTTCGAAGCTTAGGGGAGTCCAGGGTCATCTTTGGGAGGACTCCTTGGGGTTCCGCTTGGTAGAACCTATGGGTATGGAGTACTCTTCCTAATCCTTGTGCCAGAGGTACATTAAACTAACTCTTAGGCCAAACTTTGACTCATAGCTTCCAACAAGGTGAGACCCAAAGGTATGGTCCATTGACTCCAACGCAGATGTGTGGGCCTCGGACAACCACTTGAGCTCCATCTCATGCTTCCATAAAGGAACCAAACCCTGATGTCTCCTTTTGTCAGTTTGAGTGCATCAGCCAGGCCTCCAGAGTCTCCCCGTTAGGGTTGGGGTCTGTCTGGAAGTGCTTTTTTAGCTCCTGGAACTGCTCACGGGTGAACCCAGAGCTTCTGTCCATGCAGGGCAGACCTAGAGTTGTTTCCATCTCAGTTACTTCTACCTTGGCTGTGGCTTACTTGAGTTCTGTTCTTCAGTTTTCCAGAACTTGAGGTTTTTATTACATTTATTTATATGTGTATGGACATGCCACTCTGCACGTATAGAAGTCAAAGGACAACCTCTGGAAGTTGGTTCTCTCCTTCCACCATGCAGGTTCTTGGGGTTAAACTCAGGTGGTCAGGCTTCATAGCAAGTGTCTTTAGCTGTTGAGCCATCTCACCTGCCATAGGATGTTTTTTAAGGATAGATAGGTCTTACTATCTAGCCCAGGCTGGCCTTATAATCTCTAGCCTTTTATATCAAACCAACACAGTTATAAAAACTCTCCATCTGGACACTGTGTGAGAATGAAGGACAGTGCTCTGGGGGGCCTTTCTGGGCTCTGAGGGCTGGTGGCCCTCTTCCTAGGTCTGCTCCAGCGTGAGGGTGGCATTGTCTGTTCCAGAGCATTTTTAGTCTCTTTATACCTATGCTGTCTTGGGCTCATCTCTCTGTGCCCTTTGCTAAATCAGAGGCTCTTCCCCAAGTGGCCTGTGACTGTATAATCCTTTCCATTGTCTCTGAGGGGATAGACTCTTCAAAGCCCATCTGTGCAATATACTTCCAGCTTGTAGTTTTTTTGTTACAGAAACTTGTAGAAAATACTAGATGTCTGCTGGGCATAGTGGTACACATCTGTAGTCCCAGAACTTGGAAGGCCAAGTTCTAAGTCAGCTGGTGCTACATAGTGAAACCTTATCTGGAAGGAATGAACGAAAAGCAAAACACCTGGTGTCTTTATAAGCCGAGCACATCTGAGACTTGAAGGTCTAGGTGAAGTTGAGGTCGGCAGTTCCATCTAGAGGTCACATTTTATCTAGAGGTCACATTTGGCCTTTCTTCTTTCACACTTGAGGGCAGGGAGCCTGAGTCAGCTAGCACCTTAACCTGCTGTGACATTTGCTGAGTAAGCACTCTGACACCATGTTTCCTCCTGCTGCACATACATGGAGGGGTGGCAGGAGCAGAGTCGGAAGCAGCTCTTGCTAGGGCCAGTGCAGGTGGAACTGCCCAAGCACAAGTGTGGGCTCCCAGCATGGGAGGTGGGTCGTGTCTGTGAAGCGGCAGTGATTAGTGACCCTGTAGTGTGCTGTGGACCTGGAGTAAGGTTTCAGCTGAAGTGGAAGTCTTCTCTCTGGGGGTGGAGGGTAGGGGTAGGGGTGAAGAGTGAGGCAAGGTCTTGCTCTGTGTCTCACATTATCCTGCAGCTCTAATTACCCTAATTACAGATCTGCACCACCATGCTTAGCGTGGCTAATGCCACCATGTTTTTAAATGTAGTGGAAAGTTTGTTTTTAAGACCTTATTTTTATTCTAAATTATGTGTGCATCTGTGTGGGGGCATGTGTGCATTAGTGCAGGTGCCCACAGTGACCAGAGGTGTCAGCTGTCCTTGGAACTGGATCACAAGTGGTTGAGGACTGTCGGACTGGGAACCAGTCTTGGATGCTCTTTAAGAGCAGCACCTTCTCTAACTGTTGCCCCGTCTCCAGATCCGTGATTGACTTGTACTAAAAGCACAGATCCACTGCAGTTAGAGCAGTAGGATTCTTTTTATTACATTTACTTATGGGTGGGGTAGGGTTGTGGTGCATGTGTGGAAGAGACAGTTGTAGAGTCAGTTCCCCCCTTCTGTGTGGGTCCCTGTCATCAGGCATGTTGACAAGAGCTCCTAGCTACTCACTCATTGCATCAACCCCTATTGTTTTATTTTTAAAGGTTTGGGATACCTCTGACCAAGGCCACATCTGTTGGCTAGGCAGAGCAAAGTTAGCTTGTTACTCTTCCCTGTTGGAATGCTGGGTCCTTCTTTGTTCACAGTCAGTGAAGGGCCTGTGGGGCTTCTCTCCAGGCCCTGGCTAACCTCTCTGTTTTATATTTCCAGGTGCTGGGAAAACCCCAACCCTAGGTGGTGGCTTTCATGTGAACTTGGGAAAGGAATCAAGAGCACAGACCCTCCAAAATGGTATTCCCTACTTCCTCCTTGCTGACCATGGGGCGGGACAGGAGAGGGAGGCGGGACAGGATGCTGGGGTCGGGTAAGAGCAGATCTCACTTGCTGCTTCTGCCTTGCAAAGCCCGTGGCCCTGCCTGTGTCTTACCTTGTGACCTGCTACTTTTTGCCAGAGGACTCTGGGAGGGATGGTTCCTGAGTGTGCCCCTTCTTCCAGGCATTCTGTAGATCTTGTTAGGCCCCCTTAGATAGAGAAGGGTCCTGAGATGGTGCCAGCCTATAGCTGCTTATTCCAGGTCTCTTGGAAATAGGCATAGAACCAGCAAGTGTGTAATAGTTGACATGCAAAAGTGACATTTCATTGTTTTATAAAGCATCAGAGTAGAGAAACAGCTGTTCTGATTCTTTACTTGTTTTTAATTAGGTTATTTGCCCTTATTGAATTGAAAAGGTTCCATATGTATTTCAGCTACAAGGTTTTTATTGTTGTTCTTTTTCAGAGTCTCTGTGTAGATTTGGCTATCCTGAAACTCTCTTTGTAGACCAGGCTAGCCCTGAACTCAACAGAGATCTGACTGTCTATGTTTCCCAAGTTTTGAGATTAAGGGTATACCCCAATATACCTCATTTTAGCTATAAGTTTTTTTTAAAATATATATGTATATATACATACACACACATAATATATAAATATATGTATAAAACATATACATATATATGTACATTTATTTATATATGTGTATGTGCTTACCATGGCACATTTATGGACAACTTGCAGGAGATGGGTCTCTCCTTCCTCTATGTGAGTTCTAGGGATTGAAGTCTGATCATTTGTCTTGGCAATAAATGTCTTTACCCACTGAGCAATCTTGCCACCTTCTATGAATTTTTTCTACCAGATATATGATATAGAAAATATTTTCCTGTTTCATGAGCTATCTTTTACTACTTTTCTTTTTCTTATTACTTGATGCTATAAAATAGAAAAGATTTATTCTAAAATGTATATAGATGTTTATTTACATGTATGTATTTGTACTGTGCATGTGTCTAGTGCTCAGGAACGGTAGAAGAGAGTTTCAGATCTCCTAGAACTGGAGTTAAAGATGGTTGTGAGCTGCCATGTGGGCACTAGGAACTGAGCCTAGGTCCTTTGCAAGAATACTAAGCACTGAGCTGTCGCTCCAGCTCCATGGTAGTGTCATTGAGACAGTGCCTAGCGTACCTTATGCCTTACCTGGTCAGTCACCGATGCTCAGTGGGTAAAGTGCCCGCTGTGTAGAAGGCTGAGTTAGGGTCCCCAGTTGAGCATAGAGCATATAGAAAGCTAAGCATGGGCATGTGAGCCCGTTGTAATCCTGGCACTGGAGAGACAGAGACAGGTAGATTCTCAGTGTATAACCACTCTGGCAAAAATGGGAAGCTCCAGGTTTAGTGAGAGACTATCTCAGAAAGATAAAGTGCAGATCAATAGAGGACCCACCACACACACACACACACACACACACACACACACACACACACACACACATACACACATACCCTGCTCCCCAAACTGATTCTTATATCTTCTGTTCCTTGGGGTTGTCCATCTGAGCTTCCTGTTATGTTTTGGGGTTGGTCATTGTGAGTTAGAACAAGTGCTGAGAGACTGGGTCCAGCTTCCATCTTAGGTGCATTTCTAGTGTTTGAGTAGAAAAGATTATATTCCCCCAGTTGGCACCCTCCCTTGTTGAGAATCACTTCTAGACCCTCGGTTCAGTTCTACTAAACTGTATATGTCATGCTTTTGTTTGGTTCCTAGCATTGTGCTAAGTTTGAAATTGGGAAATGTGTATACTTTCTTAGAATTCTTTCTTAGTGCAGTGTTGATTATTCTAAGTCTCTTGATCTGTGTTGTTTGCTTCCTTCCTCCCATCATCTCCCTCCCTCCCTCCCTCCCTCCCTCCCTCCCTTCTGTTTTTAGAGACAGTCTTGCTGTGTATAGCCCAGGCTAGCCTAAAGCTCATGATCCCATTTGACTCACCCAGTGCTGGGCTTACAAGGCCTGTATCACCATATCCCACAGTCACAGTATGAATTTAGAGTCTGTATCTGATTTCTGCCAGGAAACCAGCTGGGATTCTGAGGGGTTGTCTTAGTCTGTAGATGACTGTGGGAGCATGGCTACTTGGACGGCACTGAGTCTTCTGGGGTTATTTTGTCATTGATTTGAGTCTTTAGAGTTTCATTTTGGAGCTACTCTGTTAACTTTGCTAAGGAAACCTGCAGATTCTGCTTGGGGCCCCCTGTCTCTGTAGATGAGACGATAGGAACTCGGTAGATCGACCTGAGCCTGTGACCCTGTACTGAGTGTCTTATTACAGCACCACACACTGTGAGCAGACAGCGCTGCTCCCTGCCTTCCACCTGTCTTCTCACTTAGCCTCTCACAAAGCTATGCTGCAGTTTTGTTCCTGTGTTGCTAGGCTTTCCAGAATCCCTGAGACTGGGTCGGCTTGGCTCATTGCTGACCTCGGCATGAAAGGATCCGTGTTTTCCCCTTAGGAATGATATCATTAAGTGTGTCATTTGCTGCTTAGTATCTACTACAGTGATCATATGGATTCTGTTTGTGGGGTGCTGGCAAGCCCTAGCCCTGAGCAGGGGACTCCTGAATTGAGGAGTTTTCTAAACACATAGCTACTGGGTCTCAGGCTCCAGCTCAAGTGTAGTCTGCTGTCTGCAGATTGTTGTTATCAGTTTCTGGGCCCAGAGTAGCGTTTGCTGGCTCTGGTGTATTAACTACTGTGTGCTGATAAGAAAGAGGAGCTGAGTTTTGTGCCATTTTCAGACATGTTGGCCATGCCCTGAAATGTGTTATTGTTACTGTTGGCTGTTGAGTAGTGTACCAGCCTTCAGTTCTTATCAAAGAATCAGAGAAACCAGTATTTAACATTTTATGGATGAGGTGGAGGTTGCCTACACTGTCAGAGGAGTGCATTGAGGTCCTGAAGATGCCAGTAGGACTAGACATGTCTGGTAACAGTTCTTACCAACTATATGTCCTCTGCATACCCTAGGGCATATCTTGTGTCTTAGTCCCTGGTCTGCACTGAGAGCTGGTATCGGCAGTGCTCTCTTAGATCCACACTGCTGGACTTGGGGCAGCTGCTCTGTATTTGCACTTGTAGGTAGAGACCTGGAGTCTGCTGTGTGCAGCACAGTGACTGTGCAGACCCAGCCTCCTGACAGCAGGTGCTTCTGTCTGCCGGTATGCAGGGATCCACTCATTAGGCTGTCCATCTGTCTAGCCAAGAAGCTGGCTCTTAGAGGGAAGCCTAGCCAGGGGCTGTCCAGGACTGGACTAGGTAGAGAGGCCATTCTGGAAAGTATGAGTCCTGTGCTGTGGGAGACCCATTACTGCCAGACACTCCAGGCCTCGGAATCTCCAGAAGAGACAGAGCCACTGTATATTGCTTCAAGCCAAAGTACAGTGTATCAGGAACAGGGTTTTATGGCATGTGAGAAGTCAGAAAACCAATATTTTTGCATTCATAATGAAAATTGATTGGAATGTACAGACTAAATTAAAAACTTAGGGCAAAGATACTCTGTCACTGTCTGTCTGTCTGCCCGTCTTATTTTGGGTCCCTGAGTAGTAAACCTAACACAGTGTGTTCTGAGCAAGTCCTCTACCACTGAGCTACGTCCCCAAACTTCATTTCACTTAAAGACATTCTTACTTTATGTGCATAGCTATTTTGCTTCTGTGTATTATCTGTGAACCATACGGGTGCTGGAAATTAAGTTGTATGGAAGAACAGCCAGTACTCTTAACCTCTGAGCCATCTCTCTAGGCCCTACTTTGACTTAAAAAGTCAGGTTTTCCAGGCTAGCTTTGAAGTCATTCTGTAGCCCAGGGTTTGTCCGTTCGTTTGAAACAGGTTCTCTAAGTAATGCTGGTCATCCTAGAATTCATCTGCAGACCAAGGTGCCTCGAACTCAGAGATCTGCCTGCCTCTGCTGAGATTAAAGGCATGCATCATTATGCCTGGCCCAGGCTAGTCTTGAAATAGTGGTCCTCCTGCCTCAGTCTCCAGAGTGAGTGAAATTATATGCCTGCACTAACAGGCTTTCCCCAAATCTTAAATTGTAAGGTAGACCTGTGATACTTAATTTTAAATTAAGTTGTGACCGAAGGTCATTCTGTATTTTGCCACAGGGCGGCGCCACATCCACCACCTGGGGAGCCAGCTGCAGCTGAACCAGCACTGCCTGGACACAGCCTTCAATTTCTTCAAGATGGCTGTAAGCAAGCATCTTACGCGAGGACGGAAAATGGCCCATGTGATTGCTGCCTGCCTCTACTTGGTTTGCCGAACTGAAGGCACACCTCATATCCTTTGTGGAGTGATTACTCAAATGCTGACGCAGGAGTCGTAGGAATGGGTGTCGATGCTGCCAACAGGTCCTTATTGGATGTCCCATTCCAGCTGACGCAGGGCTCCTTGTCTAAGCTGCTGTTTTAGTTGCGGTTTCTATTGAAGAGAAGAGACACCATGACCGTGGCAGCTCTTATAAAGGAAAACATTTAACTGGGGCTGGGCTGTGGTTCAGAGGTTTGATCCATTATCATCATGACAGGGAGCATAGCATCATGCAGGCAGACATGGTGCTGGAAAAGGAGCTGAGAGTTCTACATCTGGACCAGTAGTCACCAGGAAGAGAGAGTGACACTGCGTTTGGTTTGAGCTTCTGAAACTGCCCCCAGTGACAAACTTCCTCCAACAAGGCCACACCTCTAATAATACCACTCCCTGTGAGTCTGCGGCCATTTTTATTCAAACTCCCACAGCTGCCAAGGTGGGGAGTCAGGCTAGACTCTTAAGTCCCTGCCACTTTGGCAGAAGAGGAAGAGGATAGCTCATGACTTCCGGCTTTGTCTCCCCTTTGCAGCTTTGTTTGTTGAGGCTTCAGGTCTGGCTCTCCTGTGCACTTCCCAGGTACCAGCACGAAGCTCTGCAGGCATGAGCATCATGAGGGATCCATCCTTCATCTTTCAGTGTCTCCTAGCTCCCTCTGGTACCATCAACTGTCTGTTCCTATCATATACATACTGCTTATAGTTGTTCTCCCCTCATTCCAGGGACCTTGCTGTGCTTCTGTCTAACTGTAAACATGAGGCAGCTCCTCTCCCGTAGGTCCCTCCCTCTGGCCACCTCCCACCTTGACCCTGTCTCGGGTCACTTGCTTTCTACCTGTGTCTTCTGCTGTCCCACCGTGTGTTAGGGAAGCTGTGCTTCCTTCCCATCCACCTACTCACTCTTGGGCTTGAGGTACTTCCTAGACTTAGTTTTCAACATAGTCCTTTTCTCTTTGATTGGGGGTATGTATGTGGCACACACATGCTACACATAGAGCTACATGTCAGGTTAAGAGTTCCACTTATGAGAGTCAGTTCTCCTCTTGTACCATGTAAGTCCCAGGGATCAGATTCAGGTTGTCAGCTTTGGTGGCAAGCACCTTTAGCCACTGAGTTATCTCCCTGGCCTCTCTTCATTTTTGAGGCAGGGTATTTCACTGAAGTTTGTCATTTTATCTAGATGAACTGTCCAGCAAGCCCCCAGGATGGTTATCTCCACTCATGCCTTCTAGTGCTGGGGTTACAGCTGTTTACCTCCACACCTAGCTTTTAGGTAAGGACTGGGGTTCTGAACTCGGGTCCTTAGGCTTGTGTAGGGATCACTTTACATACTGATATATCTCCCCAGGCCCAGAGTTCGTTACCTCCTCTCTCCCGTTTCTTCTTAGTGTACTTTGTGTGTTTCATGTATTTCTGCTTTTGTGCCCATTCCATGCAGATGTCCTCTTCTGACTTCCTAGGAAGTGGTGTTGGTGGTACTCGAGCTCTTGGGTCCGTCCCCTCAGTTGGCCTACTGTGGACTAGTGGTCCTGAGATTCTTTTCCTGTGTGGCAATGCAGCTATGACAGGCATTTCCTCCTGTGTCATCCATGCTACCTGTGGAATGCATGGCATTCCCCCATCCCAGTCCTTATCTGATTGCCTTAGGTGGTACTTGGGAGAGTCCTGCGCTAGAAGGTCATGGTGCTGAGGTCCCTTAGGGATTCTCTTGTCATTCTATTAACTCACTAGCAAAAGTAGACTCCTGGGTGTGGAACGAATCACAAGATGTCCTCATGCAGAAGGAACAGACTTACTGTTACTCAAGCTCATTTTTGCTATCTTGCCTATCTCCTCAAAATTGTGTCTACTATGACCCAGGAAGCAGGCTATGCTGGGGCCTTTCACCCAGGAACCTTGCCTGCCTTCTTCAGCCTGCAAGCCTGCACTTCTAATCCCTGACCCCTAGGGGGCCTGAGACCTACTGAGTCTGCTGTGTAGGAGCCAGGCCTGAATTTTCTTCACAGGGTAGAGGAAGGTTGTGGAGGTATCAAGGAGCAGGTAGAAGCAGGTAGATGGCATCTCTGGATCTGGTGGCAGGAGGCTCAGTCTTGAAGGCAGCGGCTTTGAGACAGCATGTTGGCAGTGCCATGCTATTTGGATAGTCTGTTGATGTGTCAGTCGTCTGAGGTGTGCCACATATAGCAAACCTCAATTGTGGGCACAGGTAGTTGTTGGAGCAACGGGGGACCAGTCCAGTGGAGATGGACTGGTGAGGCACATCTGCAGATCCCCTGAGTCACTGGGAACTGTCCAGAGGAGCTGTTCTGCTTGGCTTAGAAGCCAGTTAGTATCTATAGATAGTATCCAGAGGACATCGGACAGTAGACATCTGAAGATCCATTTCTCATTTCCCTGGCCCTGCTTCCCACTCCTTGTTACTTTCTGTCCTTGAAGTAGATTCTGAGAGGCCTTTCTCAGGGCCTGGTCAGAGGATGAGCTTGGATCGGGCAGGTGAGGTCCAGCTATCTGATGTGCAGCCCTGGTAGCCTCCATGCAAACACTCCTTAACTCCAGCTGCAGACATGCTCCTTGACCTCAGCGACCTGCTCCAGGTAGATAACTCTCCTTCTTAAGTCTTTCCTGGCCTGGGCATTACAGAGCCATAGCTGTGCTTTCATATACCTGGGAGTCAATTTATGCTGCCTGCCATAGTAGGCAGCCTTTGTGCTCAGGGTGATGAATTTTGTGTGGCCAGAGCTTGGGACCTCAGCAGGAGAGGGCAGCTCACAGGCACAGCATTACCCAAGGTCTGGTGTCTCAGCCTTAGAACTGCTTGAGAAACTCTTGTCAAACTTAGTCCAAGGTAAAGCAAATTCTTTTTAAAAAGGGAATATTGGACCCATGCATGCATTTCAAACTATGGAAACCCCTCATTAGCACAGCCTAGTTAGGGTCATTACCTTTCTGTGTTCAGATAAAGTAGATTTTTTGTTGCATTGCTTGTGTTTATTGAATTCCAGGTCTCATGGAGCCCTGGTTGTCTGAGAACGAAGAGATGTGCCTGCCTCTGAAGTGCTAGGATTAAGTGACCAGTGTACTGCTCACTTGGTTTTTGTTGTTATTGTTGTTGTTTTGTTTTTTCTTTTTCCTTTTCTCCAGACAGAGTTTCTGGCTCGAGACCGAGTAGCTCTGGCTCTCCTGGAACTCACTCTGTAGACCAGGCTGGCCTCAAACTCAGAAATCCGCCTGCCTCTGCCTCCCAAGTGCTGGGATTAAAGGTGTGTGCCACCACTGCCCGGATAGTGCACTGCTCGCTTGTAAATAACTGAACGGCATGGCAAGCTGCAGCTAGGGTCCTCCAAAGGCAGTGAAGGAGAGAGGACATCCAGAGTGTGCTGTCACCCTACTGATAGAGCTGTGCTGGAGGGCTGGATGGAGACTCCTTGAAGTCTCCAGGCCACACCCTGAGCTGTGGCAAGGCCATTGAGTCCACACTGATACTGTGGAGTAGGAAGCCGAATCTCCACAAGCTTCTCCCTGAAGGGAAATACTGATCTGGGTGCCTGCCAGGGGTTCTGAGAGCCGGTAGGCCAGATCATTGCTCCTGTTTGCTTTTGCATCAGTGCCCACAAAGAGACTAGCGTTTCGAGTTCAGTCAGAGGGTGCCTTGTATTTTTGTCCTTCCAGCTGTCTTTATAAATGGCATCTCTCAGCAGCTATTACTTGAATTTTTTTTTTTTGTGTGTGAAGCTAAAAATAACCTGCTGGAATTATGATAATCCATTGACTCCATCTTTGAATGTGTTGTGCTTAGTTCAGAGCATGGTCACATGACTATAGCTAGCCTCCCAGGAAAGATGGGGGCCAGTGCCAGGCGGCTCCAGAAGTAGCTTGTACACCTCTTAGAGGAAAACAGAGGTGCACTAGTCAGCTTTAGCTTCATAGCTTTGGAAATGGGAAAACAGTCCAGCCTGTCAGGATAGAGGATGACATGTCACCAGGAGGGGCTGAGGTCAGTCTGGCCAGCTGTGTAGCTGGAGGACTACAGACTACTCTTCTTTGGTATGGCTCTACTGGCAAAATGGGGTCTAAAGGGGACTGCAGGTAAGACTGTACAAGGTTGTCCCCAACCTGGAGCACCCACAGCATGCTCTCCCTGGGACCTGAGGACAGTTGTGCTCTTACCTGCGTGGGGTGCATACCCATGTCCATGAAGGCCTCTAATGGAGCTGGCTGCTCTGAAGAAATCAGTGGAATGTAGAAGTGGCAGAGACCCTGTATCGAAAGCTTCACTTTTCCCTGGTTCCACATATATGGCAAAGGCAGGTAGCTTTCATCCACAAGCACAGAATAAGTTGTCAGTGTGGCAGTATCTAATAGTAATGTTAGTATGCCTGGAAGCCAGGTGTAGTGGTACGCAAAAGCCCTCTCTAGAAAGTATTTTTAAATGTTTTTTGTTTTACATTTATTTGTATGAACATTTGCCTACATGTATGTGTGTGGGCCAGAAGAGGGGTGTTGGACCCTCTGGAACTGGAGTTACAGATGGTTGTGAGCCACCATGTGGGTGCTGGGAAACAAACCCAAGGCTGCTGCCAAAGAAGCAAGTGCCCTTTACCATAGAGCCATCTCTCTAACCCCTGGAAAGTGTTGTTAAAACTTAAATTTACCTCTGAAGTCTATTCAGAGAAGTCTTTCTGTAGCATTCAGGGTCTCATTGTCAACCATGTTTGCCAGTACCTGGATATCTGAAGGAGCCTGAGAGGATGCTCGGGAGAGTGCTCCCTTGGGAGCACACGTACTGCATACTTGAACTCAGACTGCATACCACATGCTTACATCATATGCATGTACTTACATCACACGTTCCTGCATGTTTACATGCCATTCACATGTATACTCACTTACATAGGCCATATAGTCATGCACACCATAGTTTTGTAGACAACCCTTGAGACTTCAGGAAGATAAAGAATTACTTCAGAGAGTGCTCTGTAAGCCACCAGTTCTTGTGAAGACTTCAGGAAGATAGTACCTGTGTCCAGCCAGGGTGCAAAGTGACCAACCCACTGCTGGTTGGCTGTAGTGGCTAAACCTGGCCTTCTCAGCTGGGTTGGCTCACTAAGCTGACAAGTCACAAACTCTCCCCTTTGGTCCCGCTTGTACGTGAAGACACCATTGTGTATCATCCCTTAGACTGTGTCTTGCAAACATCTATTGGATATGACCTTCATGTCAGGAAAGGGGGCTTAGCAAAGGCCCACTGGTAAGGAACTTCTTTCAGGAGGCCAGAGGCAGAAGGCTAGACCAATCACATCTGTAAGGCCCACGAGCCCCAGGAGTGGTCTAGCATGAGTGCAGTGACATTTTCAGGGAGCTGAGGATGGGAGGGGCCTCTTAGGGTTGGGGCAGGCCAGAGTGTCCTATTATAGTATTACACTGAGGTACTGAACTGCATGTTAGGGGTTCTGCACACTGGATAAACCTTTGCTTCCCTGACAACTGACAGTGCTCCTACCACTCCAACCCTTGGTACAGCCCTTCTGGGATGGACTTATTCCCACTGCTTACCTCCTGTGGCAGAGAAGAGAGAGCTATGGCAGGAGGCCCTGTCTGGGCAGCAGGCTTCATGGCAGATAAGGACTTGGGGTGAGGGTACTGGAGGAAGCAGTTGGGATTCCAGCAAGGAAACAGACTCCGAGGACCATAAGGCAGAGGAAGAGTGGCCACTGTGGTGTGTACCGGTCTTATGTTGGTTCAGAGTTAAGTATAACTCTACTGCATTGCCTGTCATACTCTAGTGGGTACCCACAGCTTTTCTAAGCAACCGTTGAAAAAGATTAGGAGAGTCTGGGCAGCCAGATAGGAAGGAGGTGGGCCCTCCTGGTGTAGAGGCCAGCAGAGAGGCATGGTGTGGACTTTTCATAGCCCAGCGGGGTCTCTGGTTCTTTGAAGACTGAACAATGAAACAGGTACTTTAAGAAAAGAGCAGCTGAGTGGGTGTGGTGGTGCTTGCCTTTACCCATCATTCAGAAGCTAGAGGCCAGCCTGATGCCAGGGCAGCCAGGGCTACACAGAGAAACTTGTCTCCAAAAAACAACAGAAAGTATTTAAAAAATAGAAAGGAAAAAAAGCATAGAATGTTTTCTTGAATACCAATTCTGTGTCCTTTTTGCCACAGGTTAACGTATACGTGTTGGGGAAGACGTTCCTGCTCTTGGCGAGGGAGCTTTGCATCAACGCACCCGCTATAGGTAGGCTGGGCTCAGACAGGAAACTAACATGCTAAGGTTCTCAGAGTAGAGGGATGTCAGGTCAGAGTATAGAACACCAAGGGTTAAAAAAAAGGTCTCCTAAAATGTGTAGTAAACACAGCCAGTAGAGTGTTATTTTTGGTACAAACTCAGAAGGCCTACTACCAGTGCCTGTCAAATGTCGCCCAGGACACAAAGAAAAAGAGTATGGTGCTTCATATTGGGAACCTGTACTGTTTGAAGCAGGTACCTTGAGAAAGGCAGGGGCCGCCTCACAACTGAGGGAAGCCCTAAGAACTGGGCCCTCTAGCTGTGGTCTTTGCCATATGCAAAGATGGGGACTTTACAGTTTCTGACACTTCAGTCACGAGGCACTGCATGGGGCTAAAACAGAGGGTCTGAAAGTATAGCTTTGAGTCTAACAGGGCCAAGCTTTGGTGTTAGGCACACTGGGTTAAGGCGCATGCTCTCTCCCCAAAGACCATTGCCCTGCTGGTGGGCCTTTGAAGGTCAGCTGCTTTCCCAGGACAACAGGACTGCATGGGAGGATAGAGACTGAGGCCCATGGAACCTGCTTTACCCAGTACCCACAGCAAGCAGGCAGCTGAGCACAGCACACTCTTTAAATCTGACCCTGCAATAGAACCCAAGGCACTTTTAACAAATGAAACACCCTTCGGCAGAGTTCTCCAGCCCTTGAGAGGAAGACAGCCCAGAAGCCACGGGCATCTTGGGAATAGATGAGCTACCCTAAGATACGGTTTGATTTTAACTGCTCTGCACTTCAGACTCATGGAGACAAGATGTCCTTTTCAGTAGAACTGAGAAAGAGAGTGCCTGGTTAGTTCCTACAATCACTTAGCTACATGTGGTTCGTGTTCTGTGAAACCTTTATTATGAAAATTCACTTAAATAGGATGGAACTATTTTAAGTGACTTTTCAGCAATCTGTGGCTTGAATGGGAGGCCTCAACATAGGCTGGAACCACTTAGAATCCAAAGGGGGAGGGAAATCCAAGGGTCCTGAAGCTTGGGTATCACTGGACAGGGATCTGGGACGACCCTGGACCAAGTCTGTCTTCCCCCTGTGGAATGCCGTCTAGGGTCAGCAGACATTGGCTGTGCAAAGTCAAGTTTCAGACTGGGGCTGAGATAGGAAGCCAAGCCTTTAATGGTGTCAGTAAGGCAGTTGGCAGTGTCCTGCACCTCCACTGCACTTACTGGGTAGACTCCATGGAGGAAGAGCCTGGTGGCACGTCCACTCCAACCCTTACACCTCAGGCATAGAAGATGAGCTCTGGAATCTGTCCACCCTGAACTCCTGTCCCATTGGTACTGTCTGAGGAGCACTGGAATTGGAAGGCCACCTTTCCACACTGCACTTCCGTCATTCCTTCTTGCCCAAAGTAGCTGAGCTCACTGCCATCCAGGACAGCGCTGGCAGTGTAGAAGGTGTCCTGCTCCACCTGGACTGGGTGCTCAAACCAGACTGGGAATGTGTTGCTAGATCCATCTGAAACAAACTTGGTGAGGTTCTGAGCCAGGACCATCCCTAGCCGCTTGAGTTCAATCTTCACACTGTACTCAGCCTTCCCAGAACTGGACCCATATAAGCCCAGCCCAGCAATGAACACCCTTCTGTCCACTGCAAACTGGATGCTGTCACAGCGCCCACGGTACCTCCACTGGTTACTTCGATAGGCAGAAGACTGGAAGCGGTGGCACCTCTGTGGAGCAAGGCCCTTCCTCTTGGTCAGGGGGAAGTCAAGGAGGGGCTTTTTGGCAGCAGTATACCAAAGGAAGATGTTATGGGTCTCTTCTAAAGTCAGGATGTCTGACTGGGCAGCACCGTTGGCAAACTCCTCTAGGGTCATAGTTGGAATTCGGACCAGGTAGAGGGCTCTTCCCAAAACATGCCTCTTGTTGTGAGGAGTGACTGGGAGGCCCTGTCTCTTGCACTCTGCCTCAGCCCAGTTCAGGACAGCCTCAAAGACCACAGCCTCCTTGGTGTTGAGGGCCTCCCTGGTCACAATGATCTCCAGTGTCTGCCGGTCAATTTCACAGAAGCCTTCAGACCTCAGGGCCATTTCTGCCTGTGCATCAATGACTTCCCAGCACCGCTGGGTCAGTTCTGGCTCCTCAAACAGTCGGCTCTGGGACAGCAGGACACAGGCATTTTTGGCTTCTAGACTTGTTTCCAGAAAGTTGACGCAGGCCTTGGCTAGGGCAGGCACAATGTACTTCTTAGCAGCATACAGAGTGGCAAGCACTGTGTCCGCCTCCAGATCTATCTCATCGCTGTACATGTACCTGGGTAAGGCAGGGACTCTCCTGGGGAGCTGCAAGGGCTGAGGAGCTCATGGGCTCCCTGCACAACCTTGGGTTGTAGCAAGCATGAAGGGGACTATTGGAGGGTAACCACCCCATCCTTCCAGACCCAGAGCACAGCACTTACTTTAGCAAGACCAAGAAGGCAGCAGGCTCCACATCGGGAATGTGGATTTCTGACTTGACTTCTGCAAGATCCCCGTAGAACATGGCATAGAAGACGGAGCTGCCGACAGCCAAGACATACTGTGGATGAAAGAAAACCACCTGAGCTACAGGGCAGTAAACAAGGCCCAGGGAGACGCACCTAGCCAGGCCCACCAGGGGACAGGGCTGTGCCCCTACCCACCTTGTGGGCGGGCACACGCCTGGCTGCCCCCAGGGCCCCCACGATGAAGTGGACGTCGGCCATCAGCTCGTTGTTGAACATGAGCGCATTCCTGCAAAGGGCAGAGGCACACGGGCTGGAACGGCGCGCGCCCGGGCTCCAGAGCCCGGGGGCGGGCGGCGGCTCACCTCTCGCGCAGCGTAGGATGGAAGGACTGCCAGTTGGGGCTCTCGGGATTGTTGTTGTCTGGCAAGGGCGGCGCAGGCAAGGGCGGCAGCGGGGCGGGTGCCAGGCAGGGCGGGCAGCAAATGCCGACCTTCGTGCTCTCGGCCGCGCCCGCCGCGTTGCTGTTGGCGATGTCGGTGGCAGTAGCTGCGGAGGCACTGGCGGGCGGGTACAGTTCCGCGGCCATCTTCGCTCCTGCTGGGGCGGGCTCCTCACTGGTCGGTGCTGCGCCGCGCGCTTTCACGCCGCGACGGGGCCTGGGAAGCGGCTCTGCGAGCACCAGCAGGGAGGTTAGGCACTGTGCCACCCGCCCATGCAGGCAGGCGAGCGGCAGCAGCATGGGGCCACGCCGGCCCTGCCTGCGGCCCACCCGCACCCCGCACCCCGCACCGAGCCCACGGCCCGGCCGCAGGGGGCGCCGTCCGGCCCGTACCCACTGCTGCGGCGCCGGCGTCTCTCGTCACCGTGCGTCAAGACGCGGCTACTCGCTCCAGGGCCCCGCCCCTGGGTGTGTATGTGCTGAAGCCCCGCCCGGGTGCCCAGGTTTAAGGGCGAGTTGTACTTGCATCTTCTATCACTCAGAAGTGAGACCTTGTCAACAGCTCAGGTTTTGAAAAAGAACCTGACCCAGCTAGCTTTTCTCCGTGGACGAAATGGTCTTAGACGCAAGTCTCCCCTTTTGTGTCTAGCTTCTTTAAGGGAGCATAAAGTCAAGGGCAGTACACGTTGTATTATGTCAGAATTTGTTTTTCTTTCATGAGTCTGGACCTCATGTACCTCAGGGTGGCCTCAAACTCTCCATGTAGACTTTTTTTTTTTAAGTTGACTATTCCAGTGTGTTACATTTTGTTTTCCGGTTTATCTAGCCGAAGGGAGGACTCCAAAGTGGACTCCATATCCCAGCTGTTGTGACCATAGGAAGGCAATTTTATCCTTTCCAGATCCTAACTGCAATTCTTTAGGTCTTTACCTAGAAGTGAGATGGCTGTATAAAATGGTTGTTCTTCATTTACCATTTTTATTCTATGTGTTTTTATTTTATGTATATGGATGTTTTGTCTGTACCGGGTGTTTGCAAAGGCCAGAAGAAGGTGTTGGATCTCCTGAGACTGGAGATACAGATGGTTGTGGACTGTGAGGTGTGGGTAGATGGGTACTGGCTCTTCTGCAAGAGCAACAAACACTCTTAACCACTGAGTCATATCCAGCTCTTCGTCATTCCCCCCTCCTTTTTTTTTTTTGTTTTTGATTTTTTTGTTTTGTTTTTGTTTTTTTTGAGACAGGGTTTTTCTGTGTAGCTCTGGCTATGCTGGAACTCAGACTCAGTGATCTGCCTGCCTGTGCCTCCTGCATGCTGGGATTAAAAGTGTGCACTACCACTGTCCAGATACATTTACTTTTTTGAACAAATTTTGCAATAGCCTTTGTTAGTGATTGTATTATTTTTTTCAGTCTTCCACAGTGTGCATAGGCTCTTTCCTCTTGTCATAGCTAAACCTTGTTAGAATTTTCTGGGTTTTATAGAGGCTGTGCTGGTGGATATCAGGTGATATCTTGATTGTTGATGTCAAGCATCTTTCCATGTTTCTCGGTCATTGGTATATCTTCTTGGAAGAAGTATGTACACAAGTCATTTGCCCACTTTCTAATCAGTTTGCTCTCTCACTGCATTTTGAGCTCTTTAGTACAGATGTTTTCTCCCTTTTTTGTGGTTGCCTTCTCTGTGGACAGGCTCCTTTACTATGTTGATTCCGTGCAGTCTGAGGTTGTCCTGTCTGTTTTCCCTTGTGTTGCAGCATTGCTCTGGATCCTCGTGGCTGTTGTTTGTTTGTTGTTGTCTTTTTAATGTGTATATCTTCAGTCTGTTTGGTCATGGTACTACATGTGACAGTAAACCTTGTTTCCCAGACTGTTTGCTGAAGAGACTGCCCTTACACTTGTGTCTCTTTTTTTTCCCGTTTCATTTATTTGTTTGTTTTTTTTTTGAGACAGGGTCTTGCTATGCAGCACTGGCTGTCCTAGGACTCACTATGTAGACCAGGCTGGCCTTGAATTCCTAGAGATCCATGTGGCTCTGCCTCCAGGTTCTGGGATTTCACGCAGAAGTCATCAGGCCCCTCTTGGTTTCTTTGTTCTTTAATACACATACCATTTTCATAACTTCCACAGACCCCTCAAAAGGATTACTTTGTGAGGCAGAGAATTAAAGTAAATGTAGTCCACTGTTGTGTCTCCACCTTAGTCCGTTTTCCAGATTTCACCTTCTTTTTCACCTTCCTTTGGTTTAGACGTTTGTATTTCCAGTGTTTCTTGCATTGCATGACTCCAGCTCTGTCCCCATGTGCAGACAGACTCCACTACTTAAAGAAGGCAAAGCAGGATGCTCTAGGACCTCCATCTTCCCTGGCCTCTTAAACCTCCCTAAGTCCTTCTGTAGTTTCTTGCCCTTGTAAGACATGGGATCTATCTGTGTGTGGAAGCAGTTTTCCAGGTACAGTAAACACAGCTGCACAGCTAAGAGTCAGAGAGGCTGTGCTTCAGGGGAGGCGACCTCGGGGAGCCTGTGTACGTGGAGAAGTGAGTAAGGTCACCCAACTGCAGGCTTCTGCTTAGTGCTGTGTGGACACCTATGCATAAACATTACCACGTTATGTCTACTGTGCAGACCCATGTTTGTACATTCCACGCTTTGCTCATCTACTGGAGTTTGGGGAGAAGAACCATGAGGTATCCATGACAGCCCTGAGGCTTCTGCAGAGAATGAAAAGGGATTGGATGCACACAGGCCGGCGCCCCTCTGGTCTCTGTGGAGCAGGTACAGTGTGGGCCATATGGCACTTGGGTAGTATTTTCTGTCCTGATACTTGATAAGTTCACACATGTGTGGGAGGGTGATTGCAGTCAAATTTCAGGCCCCGTGCATAGTAAGTAAGTTGAACTGTAGTAGTGTGAGCTGTCAAGCCCATGAGTTATTGATTGTAGCTCCAGAGTCTTCCTTATGTAAGAGCTGTGTCTTAAACACCAGGACTGGCCTGACCTTCCTTACTCCTTAAGGACTCTGGCACTTCTTCCCTTGTTGACTTCTGCAGGTTCTGAGATAAAACACCTCAGAGGGTGAGATGACAGTGGTAGCCCTAGTTCCACCCCAGGCGTCCACTCATGGCAGGTTGCCTCTTTCAGCATGGTTAGTAATGTGGCCTCTCACTGAGACACTGAGCCTTTGCTAGCCAGCAGCATGGCTGTTCTGGTTGTATCTGTAAGGACCTGGTCCTAGACTAAGAGTTCCCTACTCAGGAAGAGTCTCAGGCCAGCAGGGGCTTGTTCTTTTGTAGCATCCGTCTTCCTATCTCTCTGCAAAGTCTGGTACCACTTCTGCACTCAGCTAGTGGTAGGGTAATGCTACCTCAGACTGCTTGCATCTGAAACCCGATTTCCACATTTACACTGCAGATTCTAGGGCCCCTTCACTCACTATTGCCGTAATTTACAGTTGCCAGACAGTATCTTTGACCAGCTTTCCAGGCTTTATTATCTTCTTAGAATCCTCCACTCCATCTTAACCGGAAGGCTTCCTGTATTAACACAGCTCAGAGTTCATTTGTGTGCTTTGAGGAGGTTTAAGAAATTCCTGAGTTTCTTGTTTCAATTTCCTTTATATTTAAAAGTAGAATGCAGTATAGCCTCAACCCAAAATAAGAAGAGGACTATCGTTTGCCCAAGACTGTGTACACTATAGGTCTATTTAGGGAAGGCAGGCATCCTGTCCCCTTGTTGAAGCCACAGCAGACACATCCTGCACACACTTGTTCAGCTGTCACTAGCCAGAGTTAAGGCAGAATTTTGCTTGCTTTCATTTCTATATGAGTTTTCTGGTAATCTTTCTTGTTTCTTTCCTAGCGCTTTTGGTTGCAGCCAGAATGCATGACTTCCGGAGAACAGTCAAGGAAGTCATCAGTGTAGTCAAAGTGTGTGAGTCCACGCTGCGGAAAAGGTGAGCACGCTGGGTCACAGTGTGATGGCCACTGCCAGTCTGTGTGGGAGCTACTTCTGCCCTGGGTTCCTCTACCCTTGGGAAGAACTTGGCTTCTTACCCTAGTGTCTCTTGAGTTTAGTAGATTGTTATGTATAGAGGCTTCCCACCTCACAAACTGGAACCAGGCAGAAAAGCTGCTTTTGAATAGCACGAGAGGCTGCCTCGTCCCATTTGGTGTGGTCAGCCCATTCTGGACTTGAAGGTCCAAGTGACTTCTTGCTAGAGTTGGTTAAACCTCCCTGTGTCTCCCATGGGCCAAGGCTTTGTGCCCAGCGCATCTGGGTAACCTGGGCATGATGGGCATGCTGAAGACGTGCTGGGACCCCACCTGCGGACGTGTGACCCCGGCTTTGATGCTTGAGGACTGTTTCTGCTGAGGGGATCTGCCATAGGGCTTTCTAGAAGCAATCAGAAAATTGTGTTTTGCCTCTAATATCTTTAAAAGTACTTTCAAAAGTTTCTATTCCATTTATTTTTTTTGCATGTATGTATGCACATGTACACACATCCACAGCACACGTATAGAGATCAGAGAACGGTGTGCAGAGGCCAGTTCTTTCCTTCTGCTCTGTGGTCTTCAGGTCCTTCATGTTGCTAAGCCAGTCTCACAAACCCCTCTTTAAGATGTTCTTTTCTGAGATAGACTACTTTATGTAGTCCTGGCCAGCCTAGTGCTTGCTGTGTAGACCAGGCTGCCCTTAACCTCACAGAGATCCTCCTGCCTCTGCCTCCCAAGTGCTGGGATTAAAGGCTTATGCTTCCTCACAGCCTCTTTTTTTTTTTTTTAATTTTACTTGTTTTTATTTTATTTTATTGGTGTTTTGACCGCACGTATGTCTGTGTGAGGGTGTCAGACCCCTTGAACTGTTACAGGCAGTCGTGAGCTGTCATGTGGTGCTGAGCACTGAACCCGGGTCTTCTGGAAGAGCAGCCAGTGTTCTTAACTATTAAGCCATCTTTAGTCCCTCTCTTTTTTTTTTTTTAAATTAATACATTTTAAAACTATAGCGTGTGCAAATATGCATGTGGAGATCAAAGGACAACCTGCTAGAATTGCTTCCCCTTTACTAACTCTGCAGGTGCCAGGTGTCAGCCAACACCCTTACTTACAGATCCATCTTATTAAACTTCAATTTTTATTTTATTATTTTATTAAAAATTGTAGCCAAGCACTTTTGTGCTCCAGCTCTAGGGACCTCAAGGCAGGAGGATCAAGAGTTCAAGTCTTCCTCAGCTACATAGTAACTTCAAAGCCAGCCTGGGCTACATGAGATTCTAAAAGAAGAAAACCCCAAAGCAAACATGTTATCCACTAGTATGTGCTCATGCTCACAGTGATTGTGATGGTGGAGGCCTGCGAACGAAGAGTCCAAGGCTAGGCCATCAAAGCGGCTCAGCAGGTCAAAGCACTTGCCTTTGCTGCCAAGCCTGACGGCCTGAGTCCAATCTGCAGGACCACAGGGTAGAAGGAGAGAGCTGAGCCTACAGTAGTCGTCACTTGTGCTTTGTAGCACCCGTGCACGCTAGGTGCATGAGCACCGCTCCCGTCAGTGCACTACAGTCTTCAAAGAAAACAGAGAGAAGTTGACTTAAATTGTGTTGGCTGTCCAGAAGGGCCTGCTCAAGCTCTTGGTTGGGTAGAGCTGGGCCTTCCCTGTAGGCTCTCCAGAGACTCGGGGGTGTGCAAGCAGTGATGGTGCCGTGGCTCTTCTGCCTTCTTGTCTTAGGCTCACGGAATTTGAAGACACTCCCACCAGCCAGCTGACTATTGATGAGTTTATGAAGATTGACTTGGAGGAGGAGTGTGACCCGCCCTCGTACACAGCTGGACAGAGGAAGCTGCGCATGAAGCAGGTGGCTGCGCGCCTCCCAGTAGCACTCCGGTTCTCTGCGAGCATCTGCTCTCTAACTAGCATCCTCCCATCCGCTGGGCTCTGGGCTGCGCTCTGGGCTGTGCTGCTGATTGGCTCTTCTCTGGGCCTTGAGAATGAGTCTCAGGGATGTGCTGCACGTGGAACCGCCAAGTACTGTCCACACCGAGACTCACGGAGGGCTTTCCTTCCCTGGCCCATTGAGCCATCCTCACAGCCAAGCTCTGCTTCTAGTTTGTTCCTTATCATCGAGGCAGCTGCCACTGCAGCCAGCCTTTTTTTCTTGTCACTGAGCTTGTGACTATGCTCTCATACTGGGACTGCACTCAGCAGGGGAGGGCAGAGGGCCAAAGGTGGGTTGCAGCTGAGTTTTGGGGACTACAGGGGGTACATTCTGCAGATAGGACAAACCTAACTCTGCCCAGGCAAGTTGGCTTGGTTGGGAGGTTTAACTTTTTTTTTTTTCTTTTTTAGTTTTTTTTGAGACAGGATTTCTCTGTGTAGCCCAGGCTGTCCTTGAACTCAGAAATCTGCCTGCCTCTGCCTCCCAAGTGCTGGGATTAAAGGCATGTGCCACCACTGCCTGGCGGAGGTTTAGCTTTTAAGTTTTTGGGCATTTAGAAAGGCTGCTTCTGGGGCTGGAGAGATGGCTCAGTGGTTAAGAGCACTGATTGCTCTTCCAGAGGTCCTGAGTTCAAATCCCAGCAACCACATGGTGGCTCACAACCATCTGTAATGAGATTTGATGCCCTCTTCTGGTGTGTCTGAAGACAGCTACAGTGTATTCATAAATGAAATAAATAAATCTTTAAAAAAAAAAAAAAGGAAGGCTGCTTCTGTCCAGGCCAACATGCATGTTGTTTGGAAAGAGAGAGCCAGGCCTACAACTCCATTCTGATAAGCTCTGGCATATCACAGTCTTGTCACCCATGAGATATTGACCATTTGACTCACTCCTTACCGAAGACCCTTTTGTCTTTCAGCTGGAACAGGTCCTGTCAAAAAAGCTAGAGGAAGTTGAAGGTAACTAACCAGTTCTCACACACATGCTTCCTTTCTGGTAGGAAATGGACATGCTTACTGTTTGCTTTTAACGTATTACTTTAGGTGAAATATCCAGTTACCAGGATGCCATTGAAATTGAGCTAGAAAACAGCCGACCAAAAGCAAAAGGGGCTCTCGCCAACTTGTCAAAGGATGGTGAGTCCTCCCTGCCATCATGGGCCATGCGGGCCCCAGGCCAGCACCCCTGACCTTCCCTACTCGCTGACCCGTAATCCCACCCCAGCCACATGGAAGCACTAACGTGCATAGCAAATCACTGCTGGGACATCCTTCCCCACCTGGCCGGTCACTGGCTGTGGAAGAGCTTCAGCCTGGCATGTGCCGTCCTGGGGAGCCCTGCTGTCCATTCAAGCTGTTCAAGGGATAAGGCCATGACTGTGGGGATGCTCTTACATATGCCCTGTGCTGTTTGCTGGGGGCTTTTCTGAGTTGCTGTAAACTTTGTATTGCTAGAAAGCTCTCCTCTGCTGTGCAGAATGAAAGCATGAGTTCCTGCTCCTTCCGTGACACCTGCTCTGGGGAAGCGACTCTAGGCATCCCTATGATTGCTCTCTTGTGCTCTCTGCCTGTCAGACTGGCAGTGTGCTAACATCCTGAGCCATGCCAGGCAAATGTGAATGTCCTTCTTGAGTCCCCGCAGTGTTTACAGACACTTGCTTATGTTCCATGTCCACGTTAGGATCACCTTGTCTGTGCCACTTCAGCCCACCGTCTGTGTCACTTGTCAGCTTGGGGGAAGCTGTGGAACTCGTCTTTCTGTCCTTCTCTAGTTTCTAGCTTCTGGTCTGTCTAGGTGGCTTTGCGCCTGTGGTCGTACCACACTGCTGCCTTCTGTGCAGCTGTTGTAAGTAGCATCTTTCCTCCTTTGGTTCCCATAGCAACTTGCAGCTTGACAATAGCATTGATCTCTGTGTACTGACTTCTCCTGTGCAGTGTGAACTCTCTTGTTACCTGTACTAGTTTTCAGTCATTTTGCCATTGGGTTTTCTAAGTGTCTGATGCTGTCATCTACACACAGTGATTCTACTGCTCTTCTCTGCCAGTCCTTCCTCCCTCCCTCCCTTCCTCCCTCCCTCCCTCCCTCCCTCCCTTCCTCCCTCCCTTCCTTCCTTCCTTCCTTCCGTCTGTCTGACCCTGCAGCATCTTGCTGATCTTGGGACAGTCGTATAGCCTCACTTGAGCCCCCTTGGACTAGAGTGCATGTGCTGGGCACATTTTCCCCTCATCTGTCATGGTGAATAAATGCCCACACATTGCTGTTAAGAGTTGTTTTTTTTGTTTATTTGTTTTGTTTTTTAATCTCATCTCCTTGGAAACAAGGGTTTCAGAGGACCATGGTATCTCCAGACCACAGGAGATGGTGCAATGGGTGAATATGAGCCAGTGCCCTGACAGTCACACCATTGGGTTCTCCCTCGTTCCTTGAAGGCATCGTTTGGGCCTCAGGAGCTGCCCTGCTCATACCTATCCAGGGCTTTCAGTCTGTCTGTTTGCAGAGTCGTTTGCTACATTTGATTTCTCTGTGTAGTGGTTTTCTTTGTGATCTTTTCTTGACTTGCATAGTCTTCTTTTGTACCTAGATTGTTGATTGTTGAGTAAGCATCTTCTGCATGTCCATACTCTACTGCCTTCTGTTTGCTAGACCACTCACTTCCGCCTGGCTTCATCCTTCCAACCTAACTCCACCTCCAGGTCACCTGCCTGACTTCTCTGTTCTGAGTCTGCTGGCTGCGTGCGTGCATTTGGGGCAGTGCACTTCCTGTGAGAACTGTCCTATTTGCAGTTTCTTAGTCTCAAGATAGTTCCTCTCTTCCACATGTGAGAGAGCTGTGGGAATTCTGGGGGAAGGTGTGTTGTGACATGGTCACTGACTCCTGCTCGTGCTGCACAGTGATCAGAAACTGCTGCTGATTAGTTCCTCCTTGGTGTTTCTCGGGCACACAGTTTCCATGGACACTGTAGAGGGCTACCTTGTGTTATTGGCACAGAGGTAAGGCTGGCCCACGATCACTATTGATAGATATTGAGAGCCTTCCTACAGTGGCTGCTCATACACAGAGATAGCCACTGCCTTGGTAGGATTTCCAAGGCTTATCTTCTACAGGATGCTCTTCGCCACCCCTAAGAGCTTATCCCTTGGGGCACATATAGGCCCAGGTGTCACTAAGTCTCTGCTTGTCCTTTTCTTTCACTTTATGTTCACCTGGGGGACTTCTCTAACACAACAGGGACCATGTTTGGGGTCTTGATCTGAAGCATCCTTTTCCCTTAGTGGTTTGAAGTAAACTTGTCTACTTAATAAGCCTTTAGAGTTCTCTTGGTCTTAGCTGTCTGTTCTAATGTCCCTTGTGTAATTTTTTATTCCTCTTTTTCTTGAACTCTACCTGTGTCTCTCTTCCACACATCATGGCTTTGGAGCAGAGCAGAAAACAACTAGCTGGGTATCCTGGGTCAGTTTGTACAGGCTGGAGGCAGACATGTGCCTTTCAGATGAAACACCAGAAGGCATGATGTACACGCTACAGGTACCTTTGGCTTTTGAGCATTGACTGTGGATAGCCCTGGTGTCAGGTGAGACCAGCACCACAGTCACTGTGTTCTGCCGCTGAGATCTGTCCCTGCCCCTGTCTTTGTGTCCTTTGTAATGGCACCCACCTTTCCTCCCCACTCCAGGCTGCCACTGGCCGCTTTCTGTCACAGAATTAGTGGTCTTTTCCAGACTTTTGTGCAGAAATCTTTTACAGACATAGTGTGTTCCCTTGCCTTTCCTCAGCATGATTTTTTTGCTGCCCATTGGCAGCACGGCCCTCTGTGTTGGGTAGTCGATGTATGTGTGGTGAGGAGCACAGCACGCCTGCTAAGTGCACCTGCATCAGCCCCAGATCATCCTGTATACATCTCATTTGACACTTGCTTCCTTGGTACTGGGCAGATGGAGTTGTTGGGCCTGGTGGAGGTGGTGTTGGCAAATAGTCTGCACAGCACTGTCAGCATGGATGCAGCCAGTCCCCCTGTTTTCTCGCCTTCCTCTCTGATGATGTCACCAGTGTGTGTGGTGTAAGTTCCTAGCAGTCTTTGAAGGTAGAAGCAGCTCTCATGCTCTGACTTGGTTTTACTTGGAGTACCTGTCAGGGCTCCATGGCCTTGCCCTCTCTTCTGCCCTCCAGGTTTTCTCTATGTTGGTCTTTGTTTGGTTCCTTTGATTTGGGTTCTGTTTGCTGAGTGTAGGCACTTTCCCATATCTAAACTGTCCTTACAGATGTTACCTAGAAAGAAGCTATGGCTCACCTTTGTCTTACAGTATCTTTCACAGGGCAGGCATTGTAATTCTTTTTTTAAAAAAATAATGATTCTTTCAAAATCTATCTGTGCTTTATGGGGTCTGTTTTAGTGTTGTTGAGGTGTTCTTGCCTAACTCTAGATCACAGGCATTTTATTTGTCTTTCCTGAGTATTCTTACACTCTGAAATACCACATTTAAGCCAGTTTGCACAGAGCATGAGGAATAAGCCAGGTTATTCTTGCACGTGGGCAGTTAACACCGTTTGCTACCAGGACTGTGCTTTCTCTGCTGCAGAAAAAGTCATGCTTTTTGGTAGTTTTTGTGTTCTTGGTTATTTTGCAGCTTTGCAAAAATGTTTCTGTTACAAAAGTGGGTTCTCTCTGGCTTTCTGCCTGGTTGACAGGTGGTGTGCGAATCGTGTGTCCCTAGGCTCCGGTGAGGACGCCACATCCAGCCCATTCTGTGAGGAAGACACTGAGGATGAAGAGCTGGAGGCTGCTGCCAGCCACATGAACAAGGACTTTTACCGAGAGCTCCTGGGGGATGATGGCGGCCCGGAGGCAGCAGAAGACCCTGACGGGGGCAGCAGACCCCTCGCTCTGGAGTCCCTGCTTGGGCCCCTGCCCACAGCAGCCAGCCTGGGCATCTCCGACTCCATCCGAGAGTGCATCTCTTCCCCAAGTGGGGACCCCAGTGAGTGCCCTGGGACAAGGGAAGTTTACATCTGAATGGCCCCTGCTGTGGATTAGACCCGAAATATGATGGGCTGGGGTGAGGCACTGCTAGGCCCCTGTGCAATAGTCTATGGCCCCCGGAGCCCTAATTTCAGTTGTCATACTGTGATAAATACTGTCAGAGGCGGCTGTGGGGAACAGCTCTGCTCACAGTTCCAGGTTACAGTCCATCATTTCAGGGAAACCAAGGCGGACCTCACACAACTAAAGTTACTCAATCCACAGACAGGAGCAAAAAGAAAAACACGTCACTGCTCGCTTGCTCCTGTGTGGCTTTGTCCTGTTTTACCTAGTTTAGGACTGACTCCCTGCCTCGGGAATGGTGCCACCACAATGGTTTGGGTCTTTCTGTATCAAGTAGTATTCAAGATAGCGCCTCACAGACTTGCCCTCAGACAAACCTGATAAAGATGTTTATTCCATTGAGACTCTTTGCAGATGATTGTAAATTGTGGAAGTTGATATCTGAAAGTTATATCACACAGGGTAAAGTTGGGTGTGCACCAGCATTCTGAGGTGCCAGCTGGCCTGTTACCATTGTAAGCTCTCTAGTACAGCTCAACTTCAGGGGCTACCAAATGACTAAGAGAGGGAGTCTGGCATAGCCTGGAATCATGCAGTTGGAGGGGGAGCAGGCCATTCTTAATCTTTCCCTATTGCTAGGCTGGGAAAGCCTGGGCTAAGGTGCACATCACTGTCGGTGTCAACTGCTGAGCCTGAAGATGGGCAGAACAGAAAGATTAACAATGCCTGCCCCTACCACCCTGCCTGCCCCTGCTAGATCGCTACAGCTTCTTGCCCTTCACCTTTAAAACGTTGGGAGGAGGGCTGGAGTAATGACTCTGAGGTTAAGAAACTGATTGTCCTCTTCAGATGACCAGAATTTGCTTCCCAGCACCCACATGGTGGCTCCAGTTCTGGCTCTGCTGCCCTCTTGTGGCTTCTGGAGGCACTGCACACATGTGTTGTTGCACAGGCATACACGCAGGCAAAACACCCAGACACACAATTTAAATAAACAAACAAATAAGTCATTTTGAAGAAGGGCTGGGACACCAGTGGCTCTGGAAGGGTAATTGGTCCCATCCCTGTAATGTGGCTCTGCCCCTTGACCAGGAGGATTTGGCTTTTTCGAGAGGGTAGATCCTCTCATACAGGTGAAACTGTTGAAAGCTGGCGCCTATGTGAGGCTTAGACCGCTCAGCTGGGAGGCAGAGTGCTTCACCTGTGGGCCAAGTCATAGAGGACAGTTGGGTATCTGCTTTTGAGGGAGCAGCTGACTCAAAGCAATACAAATCTGAGCAATACAATCTGAGCATAGGCAGCCCAGAGCAGAAAGCAAGGAAAGTGGGGCGGACTTCAGAGAGCCTCCAGGAATGGTCTGACCACCCAGGGCCTCAGCCTTAAGAGCTGAAGAAGACACATCAGACATGCTGGCTGTGGGCTGCCCCAGCCCTGACCCCAAGCGTGCCCACAGTGAGCAGTATTGTCAAGGGCAGCCTCAGTGACACTGATTGCAATGTCCGCTGGGGCAGCCTCGGTGGCACTGATTGGGGTTCTTCTCTCTAGAAGATTCTTCAGGGGACGGGGAGCTAGACCTCAGTGGCATCGATGACCTTGAGATTGACAGAGTAAGTAAGCCTGGGCCCCCTTGTCCCCAGTGATGGTTGGGACTTAAGGAGGCTAAAGTGGGGCTGGACTCGTAGCTTCAGGCCTGTCACCTTAGACCTCCTGACAAATGCGTGCTCTCAAGGTGTAGTACCTGTAGTTCAGACATCTGCTGGACTCCCTCCTCCAAACTGCACTCCAAGGCAGCCTTAGTGTCATGTGACCTTCTTCTGAAACCCCAAGCAACCCCATCAGAGCCGTGTTGGAAAGACCCTGAGTGCTGCACCCGGCTTGCGCCTGAGTTCTGGTTCCCATCGTATCACAAGTATGTTGTACATCTCTAATCCCCAGATAGCAGACATACACTACCACCTGCCTGTGTATCTCAGAGATCTGCCTGACAAGGCCTAGGAACCGTCAGTACTGGCTCACAGCTACGAGTGAGGTTGGCAGAGCGGGACAAAGGTGACAGGTTACTGTGCTGAAGGGAGACCTTCCTACTTCCTTTCCTTAGCAGTTTAAGGATAAATAGGAAGCCGGTTGCTGAAAGATCTTAGGATACTTGAGAGGTCAGCCTCAGAGAGCTGACATCACTTCCTGTGCTTCCCACAGTACATCCTGAACGAGTCAGAAGCCCGAGTCAAAGCTGAGCTGTGGATGCGGGAGAATGCTGAGTACCTGCGGGAGCAGAGGGGTACGTACCATCTGTCCACCTGCCCAGGCCCCAGGACATGCCCCTTGCTGAGGCCCGCCATTTTGTTCACCTTACAGAGAAAGAAGCAAGAATAGCGAAGGAGAAGGAGCTTGGCATCTACAAGGAGCACAAGGTGGGTTTGGGCGCCTCTCGACAGCCTGGCTCGGCCTTAGTGTCGGCTGAGAGGAGGAGGAACCTTGGGAACACCTCTCCCCTGTTGTGGTAAATCTCCAACCCAAATAACCCCGTCAAAGAAAGCACAACTCAATAATTGTGAATACAAACTGCATGCCTAGATTGGGCAGATTTACCACTACACTACTCTATTCCCCATCTGTGAGATCCCTTATAACTTGTGGTTTTTCCAGACTATCTGCATCTCCTCCATTGTCCTTCCACTTCTTTCTCCTCTGTCGTCTTCCTCTCTCTCCCTCTCGCCCAAACTTTTTGCTCCACCTCCCCTTCTACTGCCCAATCATTGGCTCTAGCCTTTATTTTACAAATTAAGGTGGGCAGAAGGTTCACAAGAAGTCACCTGTGTACTGATTCACTCCTCATCTGCAGCCCCTCCCAGGAAAGTGGAATTAGCATCAAAATACAAGACCCAGGCTAGCCACAACATCGAGTCCATAGGCGCCCACCTGGGACAGGCAGTGGAAGCCATAGGACCCACATCCCTGACTGCCAGGTTGTTATGTTGGCTGCATGCTCCTTCACAGGTGGTTTGTGCCACCCAGCTTTGGAGTGAGGTATCCAGGTGTTAAGGCAGACAGAATTGAGATACAGGGCTGGACTCAGGTCCTAGTGCTTGAGGTCCTTGTTGAACACACAAAAGCCCCTATCTTCATGCCTGGATTCTTTGGTAAGAGGCAAGTAGTCTTGGCTCAGTTGCTCCGCTCCCTCTGGGGTTTCAGCCTCCGAGTAGTGTTATTTTAGGAAGGGGCTGAACCTTTCAGGAGCCAGTGAGAAGAAGATAGGAGGCTGGCAAAACTTCTTGGGGTCCAGGATGGAGGCCCAGAGAATAAGTGGTACCTACCTCAAAGGAGGACTAGAGACTTGGCCAGGGAAGTGGATCCCAAACTCCAGGCATCATGTTCTATGCTGTGTGAGACACTTTCCTTTTCTCTCCACAAGCAAGGCTTAGCTGGAAAGGTAGATTCACAGAAAGTGAGGGTAGCAGGTGCCATGGCTGGTTGCTGCCAAGATGACCAAACTAGTTTCCTGTCCCCTCAATGGGTCACAGCTGCGGCTCAAGAGTAAATGGCAGTTGTGAAGCTAGCATGTGACAGGAGGAGTTACTTTTGTATTTCATTCAGCCGAAGAAGTCTTGCAAACGCCGGGAGCCAATCCTAGCCAGCACAGCTGGGGAGGCTATTGAGAAGATGCTGGAACAGAAGAAAATCTCCAGCAAGATCAACTACAGTGTGCTACGGGACCTTAACAGCAAGGGTGGTGGCAGTCCACCCAGGGACGACTCACAGCCCCCAGAGCATACCAGCACCAAGAAGCTGTCCCGGAGGAAAAGAGCAGCTCCCAAGAATAGTGCTGATCCTGGGACAAGCATGGGGAAGAGGTACTGTCCTGCCCCTTGGACTAGGTGTCTCCAGATATGGGTGTGTCTTGATTCCCCCAAACCCGCCCTTCTGGGTCCCAGAGTTGCATGGCTTTTGGTTGCTGCAGGAGCTACTCCATCCCCAGAAAGCAGTTGGACACTCAGTGGAAATGGGCTTTTCCAGTCCTGCCACACCTTCACCCTATGTGCTGTACCACTGGCTCTGTTGGGAGAGGGAGCTACCACAGTGACCCCTCTGCTGGGGACAGGAAACCAGTCACGGGCCAGCATAGGCCAGCCTCAGTGTGCTAGGTCACTGTTGCCCTGCAGCTTGACAAGGGGATGTTTGTGGTTGCTTAGCTATGTGTGGTCCTCCTTATGACTTACTCTTAGGTGGTTGCTGCCAACTTTCCTGATGAGGTCTCAAGAGTTCATTTTCTTAGCTCTAGAGATAGGCTGGACACCCAGTGTGGCTAGCATCCACCCGCCCTCAGCCTACTGTAAGGTACTGCCTACTCCATGTCTCCATGTTTGAATTAGCCATAGTTTGTCCATGGAGGAAAGCCTGAAGTGCTTTAATTTATCTTAGTGGAGCAAACGTCCGTATGACTCTGTATTGTTGCTTCCCTTGTGCTGTTGGTGGGGTCTTGTTTTCTTAGTAATATAAAGCCATTGCAGGAGGATAGTGAATTCAAGGCCAGCCATGACTATATAGTGAGACCCAGGCCCCAGATAATCAAAAACTGGCTGGAAAGATGGCTCAGTGTTAAGAGATACCCAAGTTCAGCTCCTACCCACCATGAATTAAGAGATACCCAAGTTCGGTTCCTAGTCCCCATGTCAGTCAGCTTCTGTAACTCTTTTGACCCATACATGCTTGACACCTCCCCCACCACCACCACACAGACACACAAATAAAAGTCAGTCTTAGGGGCAGGGTGAGAGCAAGAGACCACCAGGAGTGGTGGTGCACGCCTTTAATTTTCACACTTAGGAAGCAGAGACAAATGGATCTCTGAGTTCAAGGCCAGCCTTGTCTACATAGTGAATTCTAGGCCAATTAGGCCATGTGGTGAAACCATGTCTTAAGAAAGGAGAAAACAGGACTTTTAAGCCTAAAATCGATAGATGGATGGATGGATGGATGGATGGATGGATGGATGGATGGATGGATAGATGGAGGAGGAGGAAGAAGAGGAGAAGGCTCTACCCGTAAGTGACGTGTGCATGTGTGTTGGTTTGAACTCTGCCTCCACCTCATGAGTGTGCCTCATGACTCCAGCAGTAACGTTTTTACCTTTGCATTTTTATATCATAAGTCTGATCCCACTAGAACTTACTTTGGCAAAGGAGTAAGATGAAAGCCACGTTCAAGTTTCTGGGTGGATACTGTGGACAGGGTCTGTCTCTAAGACCCATCCTGTGGTTGGCTCAGGTGACCTAAGCCATCACTGAGCTGCTGTAGCCCAGTGCTATTTCGTGGGGCAAACTCTTGAGAACATTTTTGTATGTGGCCTGCTTATTTCCATGAACCAAGAATGATATATCTGTCACTCTCACCACTTGATAGGCACAGGCTGTCCTCACAGGTCCCCAGCCTCAGGTGCTGGGATAGTTGACGTAGTATCTTTCTCTGTAGGATCTTTCTAGGATTGCCTCCAGCTGCTTCTGTATATGGGCAGGTCCTGAATTTCCCTCTGTCCATTATGTTTCCAGAACCGGTGAGGTGTCTCGTTTTGTTTACATGGCCTTTCCTTGACCCCTTGCCTACCTAGGTTGGCTGTTCTATTACCCATCAGTGCTGACTATACTAAGTACTGAAAGAGTCAGCGTGAGGCAACTTCCTCAGAAGGGAGTTGATTGTTTCAGCTCCCCTTTCAGTTCCTGTGTGACCATAGAGCCTCTTTCTTTGAGATTACTAAGTAGAGAGATGAGGGAAGAATCCCACTGTAGCACATATGGTAGGTCAGATGGGGCAGAAACCAGGGCTTGGCCTTCTCTAACCTCCTAACCCTGCCTCAGTCATCTAGAAGGCATTCTCAGTTCTGCGTATTATTCTGCTTACTGTATCCCTACCCTTATCTGTCTGACTGCAGCTGGAAACAGACCCCAGAGTCTGATGGCTCTGAGCACTCTCAGGTTCTCCGAGAGTCTGATGGCTCTGAGCACTCTCAGGTTCCCCGAGAGTCTGATGGCTCTGAGCACTCTCAGGTTCCCCGAGAGTCTGATGGCGCTGGGCACTCACAGGTTCCCCGAGAGTCTGATGGCACGGGGCACTCACAGGTTCCCTGAGAGTCTGATGGCTCTGGGCACTCACAGGCTCAAGTTGAAGCTCAACTAGGTCAGTCCTCTCGGTGCCGGAGTGTCATGTTCTAACACAGTGATTCAGGATCCTCAGTAGTCATGTGGCCACCTAGACGGAACCCTGAGAGAGTCAGAGTTTGTTAACGTCTGATGTCCTGAGAGGGTTATAAAGGCCTCAAGGCTAGAGTGCCCCTTCCCCTGCACTCATGTTACGTCCTTACTCAGAATGGCCAGTTCAGGCAGCTCCAGCAGGGACAGCAGAAAGACCACATGGCTCTAGGATCTGAGCTTTTCCGAGCAGATGTTATTCACTGCCTGAGACAGCTCCTCTCCACACACTCTGGCTGTTGAGGGTACTGTAGCCCTCAGCATCTGCCTCTGCAAAGATGTTCCCCTAACAGATCCCGTGTCTCTAGGTCTACTCAAAGGCTCTTGGGTTTCCCAGGTCAGGTTCAGACAGTTCAGCTCAGTCCCCACATAGAGCCCCTACCTACCATGTGGCTGTCTATTAGGAAGTGTCCTGGTTAGAGATCAGCAGCCATGGCACATTTGAGAACATACAGCCTTTATGGTCAAGGCTGGGAGATTGGGAGCAGTGAGGTTCCCTGGGCCTGTGGCTGGTAGGGACGATCCTGTAAGCTGTGATCTGAGTAATACCACACTAAACATATCCCTTAGCATTCACAGACCTTCCGTGAGGCCTGCCAACTGGTCTTGGGTCTACATGGGTCCTAGAAAGGCCCTGAGCATCTGTAAGAAGGCTTCAGCTCCCTAGCTAAGGTGTCATGTGCCATCTGCCTGCTATGAGGTTCCCGTCGTGGTATCATCAGAGGTTACATAGTACGTCATAGCTGAGCAGGACTGAGCCTCAGTGGACCCAGCTGCAGTAGGCCATTACCTCCTTACATAGTTTGTGCCCTAGAAGGAAGGAGTGTTGACCCTCACCATGCCCAGAGCCTACTTAAACTGGCCTGGGTGACATGGTGACTGTCTCCTCTGGCATGGGTGACTTGTCTTCCTTTCTATTTCTTGTGACATAGATGTCAGAGGTGATTTTGTGTTTAGAAGGCCTGGAGGAGGTGGAGGTACTGCTGGTCGGAGGAATAGGGTGGCTGTGTGGAGGGGGGTGGGCAGGGGTGTGTGTATCCACTTCTTTTTTCTTCATGACTGTGTATCCCTTGTCCTCGCTTTCTCGGGGTCTACATGTTGACCAGTGAGAGGTGCTGTGGAATCTCGCTCATGGTCACTGCCCATGGCCTCATGTATCTGTGTAAAGGGGGAGGGAAGACAGTCCAGAGCCTTGGCCTTGGGGTGCCCACCATATGGCCTGGTAGAACTTGCATTTTTATATTGTTTATATATCTCCCACCCGTGACAGAATGACGTCAGGCATTGGTGAATGCAGATACAGAGGTTAGGTCAGGATAGACACAGCAGTGATGGTGTTCCAGGTAGCCAACTGAGGGATAGGTGAGACCCTAAGTCAGCAGGAGGCCTGAGGTAGGAAGAGAAACGGGGGTAAGATGCCATGGTAGATGTGTTGGAGTGGACAAGGACCCAGCCAGGAGAGGTCAGCCATGCTATTAGAGACGTATCACACAAAGCCTCATCTTTAGGTACGTGGATAGTACACTGAGTTCTTCCTTGTGTCCTGAGTTGGATGTCAAGCCCACCATGATGAGAAACTAGCAGAACAGTGAAAGTTCTGTGTCTCTGGGAATCCTATAGAGTGCAGAGTGGTTCCCATCAGGTAGTTGCCTGGTCAGGGCCCTGATCAGCAAGCAAACAGGCGTGAACTGAGGCTAGACTGTGAGCCCACACACACAGAGACACACACACATCTCTCACTTCCACACCAGACTGTACTGAAGCTGCTTCTATGCTTTCTCTCAGGTTGAGGCCGCTGGTGTCTGCCCCGCCGGCTAAGAAGGCAGCTGTGGGAGAGGTACGTTGACCTGCACAGCTAGGGCAGGGCCTCCGGAGCACAAATTGCCCTCAGGCTTGGCAAGGAGCAGCCCAGCTGCTGCTGCTTCAGTGCTGGCTGGGCTCCAGGAGACAATCCTGAAGCTTGGAGGGTGAGGGCTTCTGGGTCACAGAAGTGGAACAGGCAGGTGGTAAAGGCCAGTTATACGCTACTCTTCTGGAGCTGAGGGTGAGCTAATCCCCATTGTAAACTAGAGTGGGCAAAGGCTAGATTCCATACCACAGGATCCTCCCTCAGTTGATAACTTTGGGGAAAGGAGGGCTGGGATTTCATAGCCCAGCTCAGGTATGAGTCAGAAACCCTGAGGAGTGTCCATGCCCAGACTGAGAGAGCCTGAGGGTCCCTTAGAGTCAGGAGGGTGGCACATACTCTACTTTCATCCCTGAGACCTGCCCTCTCTTCCAGGCCTTGCTCTTTAGTTCCCCAGCCTTGGGAGCTGAGCCTGTCAAGCCATCAGCAGTCTTGGTGGAAAGTGGCCCTGTGTCATACCATCCTGAGGAGGATGCAGATGAGGAGGAGGCCGAGGAGGAGGATGGAGAGCCGTGTGTCAGCGCCCTGCAGATGATGGGTGGCGATGGTGGGTAGGCCACGTGGTTGTGGTCCCAGTAGAGGAACTGTGAGGGCATCCAGAGACAAAGAGATATAGCCATTTACCTGAGTAATTTCCAAATACGAGCCTATTGGCTACAAAGTTTCTCTCTGCAAAAGAAGGAATTTGAACTAGGACAGTGAAAATTGACCATATTGATTCCAAGGCCCTTGAATATGCTAGGAGGAACCAGGCAGAGGCTTGCAGCCAGCTCACAGGGAAGTGAGGTATCGGCTGTGAATCAGGCCATGCTTTCTGGCTTTGTTGGGAGTCAGCGGTGGGGGCTGCTTAGCTAGTAGAGAAAGGTAGTAGTGTCATAGGTTAGCCGTACTATTCGTAGTGCCCAGCAAGGAGCTAAGGCTGCCCCACAGGGCACATGCCAGTCCACCATCGCTAAGGGCATCTGGGATAGATTGAAATGGTGCTTTCAGTTGTTGGGCCCGTGACGTGAGCGGTGGGGTTGGTGCTGGGAGCTGGAGTTGGAACCTCCACCGCTGTCCTCTGTTTTGCAGATTACGGCTGTGATGGTGATGAGGATGATGGCTACTGAGTGGAACTCAAGACCAGATGGCATCCTGGTGCTGGACTCCAAGTGTATCTGTTGATGGGTGTCAGACGGGCCCTGGGGCCACGCTCCCAGCATGATGTCTGACACCGACCAGTCAAGCACTGCCCACTTCCTTGCAGCTCTCTCCCTGTGGCCGCGCTGTGGACCACTGTACTTACTGTTGGGAATCATGTTTTGAGCAATGTAAGGGATATTTTTGCCCGGCAAGGGAAACTAGCTGTGTGTTTATGTGTAATGAAACATGGTCAGAGAGTAGTCAGGTCTGATCCCACTTCATAGCCTAGCCTACGAGTCACTGTTTACCAGGAATCCTCAGGCGGGCACTGTGTTCTCCCATCATAAGGAAATTGAAGCACAAGGGCTTCAGTCAAGAAGTAGAGCCCTGCTCTTCGCCTGCTGCCAGTGTACTCTGCCCTGTCCTTCCCATCCAGGAGGGAGGCATTGAGCAGGAGACATGTGGCAGTTATTGCTCTATACTAGGCAACCACAGTCCGGAGTCTCTGCCTTTAACTTCCGCACCAGCTTCCTGCAAACAGGATGCTCCCTACCGTTTCCAGTGTCCAGTCTCCGTCTGGAACTCCCAGGAGCATCACAAGCCGCGGCCTCCTGCTTAGGACGCATAAGCTGTGCCCAGGAAGGTTGTTAGTCAAGTTTATCTGCAGCAACTAGAAAGTGGAGACCAGCAGACCATGTACACCTGTGTGCAGCTGTGTGTTGATGTCTAGCACAACCTATGTGGAGTTCCGGCCCTGCCCCGTCAGTTAGAAGGAACCTTTAGTACTCCTGAACAGAGCCCTCTGCCAAGAAGCCTGCAAGCTCTCTCCTGGGCCTCTTCATGCAAAGGTCCACAGAGTACCCTCAGGGTATTTGACTCTGGCCTCCCTTTCCTGGATGCAGCCTTGGATGCAGACTACTTGACTTTCAGATCAAGAGGTGGGGGCCAGGCCTGAGGTGATGAGTTGGGGCAGCTGCAGATGAGAGTGGATGGGCCGGACAGGTAGGAAGTGATTTTGGTGAAATACTGCAAGATGCTTTGGGATTCTCTGTGGGAATGTGGAACCATACAAGGCCTTTCCCAGGAGTGAGGTCAGAACTGTGGTAGGAGAATAGTTTTAGGATGTTGGTACATTTTTATATAGCAGGACTTGCCTGTGGTGTGGAGGGAGTCCAGGGTGAGGGGTGGGAGGTAGGAACTGGGGAAGTAGAAACAAGCCCCCTGGGAGGAGGCCTGAGGCCTGCCCCCAGCTGTGCCTTGTCTGCCCAGGAGACAGCAGGAGAGGTTGGTGCTGGGAAAGGAGAAGGGCTGGGAAGGCTGGAGTGCCCCTAGGAGGTAACTGAGTTGCTCACTACCACAGATAGAGTTAGAAAGCTGGGGCAAAGAGGGAGGTGACAGTGCTGAGTGAGGACGGTCCCTAGAAGCTAGGTGAGTAGCAAGGTGGGGGATCCTGAAATACGGAATCCTGGGTCACATGGTTGGAGAGACCGGGTGCTGAGGAGGAAGGTCCCAGTAGAGGGCAGCCGTGAAGTGGGCAAGATGCTTCTAAGCTGAGGTCATAGCCTTGTGTCTAAGCTTCCAGCAGCACTAGCATGAGGCTCAAGGAGGCACTGGGACTGTGTGACCCCACTGTGAATGCAGTTAGTCCATTTCTGTGTGCTTTTTTCTGACTGGGATTTCACACCAGAATCTCCCTGCCTGGGGTCTTCTCAGAGTGCAGAGCAGTACCTTAGGTAGCCTCCTGGGCAGAACCAGTCCTCACCACACTGGACCTTAGAAAAGGGAAGGAGGGGACAAGGGCGTCCATTGGATCCTGCATCCTAGACTGAGACCTTGTGTGATGATGTGCACACGTGAGTGCTGAGCAGACTGGAGAGCTTACATCTCTCAGCCTCTTATGCCTTCTGTCTTCCTGCCCGGGGAGAGAGGTGCAAGGGATACTACATGTAGGAGGCACCGTCCAAGTTTCTTGCTAGCCCCCTAAACTGAGGAACCTAGTATTTAGTGGTTGCCACTATCCTCTGCAAACTGGGTGATCACTGGGGCAATACAGTAGCAGTCAGCAAGGTCCTGATAAACCTAGACATTTGAGGCTTGACAGAGTGTGTGCCTGTCTTTAGAGGGAACTGGGGGATACTTTCAGGAGCTGGGCCGCAGAGTGAGAGGTTATAGCCATGCAAGGCAGTGAGGCACTGTTCCCTCCCAGGCTATCGTGCCCATCGAGAAGCTAGTCCAGCCTACTCTGGACCTGGGTTTTCTGATTCAGGTGCTTTGTCCTGGTGTACACTACTGAGCAGAAGTGAAATAAGCCCTGTGTGGGGTGGGGCACTCCTTTTATACCCTGTTAGAAGATGGAGACCGAGGTTTGACCACGTCCTTTGCCCTGTCTAGGACCAGGGGATGGATACACCTCTGTCAGGAGCAGCCTTGCTTATACACTAAAGGCCTAAATCAGCCATGGGCCTGAGTCAGTCAGTGGGAAAGAATAGGTGGAGTGGGCGTGGATCCAGCTGGATAGATATTTGCCTCTGTTTGAAGTACCTCTAGATGACACGTGCCCTACAAGACACTCCAGAGACTGGAGAAGGGCCTCACAGTGTTAGTGAGGGAGTATCGTAGTGGGGTATGTGCATCTTACGATACCTGTTAGACCCAGTTTCTCTCTGGTCTTCTTTCTAAGAGGTGTAGAACAGCAGTTAGGTAAAGAAAGGGGGACTGAGGGAGACTGTGCAGTACCCCTGGAGATTGCTTCCTGCATGATGGATAACCTGGGCTCCAATTGCTGTCTTCCCAGCAGAGAGCAACAGAGCTCTGAATGCTCACGTGTGCACACCAGACAGGATCCAGTGGACTTCCTCTCTCCCTCCTTCCCTTTCCAAGGCCAAGTTAGGGGCTGTGGACAAAGGGGTTTTAGGCAGTAGCTGGAACTATGTCTAGAGTAGTTTCTTGGGAGTCAGTCGTTGAGTCTAGGGACCTAAGCGTGGGCCAGCCCCTGGAAGGCCTTGACTTTAGTGAAGCAATCCATCAGCTCCTAAGCCCCATTGGATTGCTGGAGCTATCATTTGCTGTAGGCTACCGACCCTGCAGACCTACAGCCCCTCTACAACCCCTATAAGCTCTGGGCCTACCCCAATATCCTACCTAAGTCAGTGTAGAGGGGAGTGGCTGACTTCATTTGCCCAAGCCTGGGGGTATAACCCAAATCTTGGGCCTCTCTTGGGCACAGGGGAAGCTTTGTGATCACTGAGACAAAACACCTGCTTGGCTTTCCCCCAGTCTAGCCCGTATCTGTGACTGCTGTGGTGGAAGGCACCAAGGTAGTCCCCGTACACCATGAGTGAGGGGTGGCTATACCCGGGTGTGGTGACATGCACATGCAATACAGGTTAGTGCTGCATATGGCTATGGTGCTGTCTGTTGAGGGTGCCCCCACTGTTACCTATTGGGGCTCCCTTCCTGTCCTACTCTGCACCTTACTCAAGCCTCCTCTGAAGCTTGTTTGGCCCTTTGCACCCATATCCGCATCCTCCAGCAGTGCAGGGGCCCAGCCAAGGGCAACAGGCTTACTCAAAACAGCCCTGGGAGCACCCTTGGAGGAGGTAGCCTGCTCCCTGAGGTCCTAGAAATCTGCTTATCCCTGTCAAGAATGAGGTTGTCATGTGACCTATAAGGTGTGTGCCTTACCCTGGAGACAGGTGAGCATGAGTTTAGTCACTTGTGAGAGTGTACACTTAAGACAGTAGCTGCCTGAGCCTCCCCTGGTGGTCTTGACCTAGATGGAGTTTAATATTCACTACCCTTGCTTTATGAGTCATAGACCAGAGCCCATGGCTAACTGGCCTTGGGCCAGTATACCCCACTGGGGTTGGGGGTGGCAGATGAGCAGAAGTAGGTAGGGCACAGTGAAGTGGAGGAGAAGCCAGACACTGGGACTGAACCTCAGAGGTACAAGACTTACTGATACATCAGTTACATGCAGTGAATTGCTGTAATTGGCCACAAGCCTGAGTGGCTGGCTTGGGTTGCACCCTCTGGTGGCTGTATGCAGCACTACTTTCTGAAGGACCTTACTGGACATACTCTTAGTCAAAGCTGACCATGGGGGCTTTCACTGCTTGGGTGGTACGGTAGACTGGCCCCACCCCTACCCTGCAGTCCCATAAATAGGGATGCCCCTGAAACAGCCAAGCTTAGTGAGAGGACTGGCAGAGGTGTAGGCTGGCACACAGCTCCTGGAGCAACACAGCATCAAGGCTTCTAAGATTCTTACCCTCCAGTCAGCACCCTCTAACCCAGTGGTTCTCAACCTGTGGGTCAGAACTTCAGGGGTGAAACAACCCTTTCACAAGGGTCACCTACGGCCATTGGAAAACACAGATATTTATGATTCAGTTATCAATTTCACATTTACAAAATTATGTAATTACAAAGTTACAGCTATGTGGTATCAGTGAATATAATTTATGTCTGGGGTCACCACAACATGAACTGTGTTAAAGGGTTGTATCATGAGGATGGTTGAGAACCAGTTCCCTAACCCTTATCCACCCTGTTCACAGGACTCAGCCACTCTGCAAAAATGCCCTTGTGTCTTAGGGGACGCCGAGGTATCAAGTCAGCTTTAGTACAGTGGTTGGAGGTCTCGGGTCAGTGCCGAGTAAGCTCTGTGGATCAGGATCTCCTGCCCAGTGTGGGGTTCAGGAAGGATTCTTGGACAGGGGGCTGAGCCCTCAGCAGGTTCCTGAGCTCGACCCAGTGACGTGGGCCATGTTTCCTTGGTGCTCAGAACCTGTGTCTGTGCCCTGAGCTGTATGCCTGAAGGGCTAGCTAACTAGTCCCTAGGGTGCCTGGACTTGGGCAGGGGTGCAGATGGGTGAGGCCAGGCTCCAAGCAGCACTTGGCACCTGAGGCCTCCCCAGGCCTTCAAAGTGGCCGTGGGCAGTGGTAATGGGCTGACTTTATGGTTTTCCTGTTGGGAGAGGAACCTAGCTCAGGGGAGCTATTGTCCCCAAACAATGGGCCTGGCTATGACCCATGAGGGCAGTGGCCCCAAACTGGTGAGACCCAACCCATCTCAAGCATCACCCGCTTTTTAATCCTCAACCTGACCTTGGATCCAGCCCGTCCTGAGCCTCTTTCTGCCATACTCCCCTTCCTGCTCGCCCTGGCTGGGGAGGAACATAGAGGTACTAAGTCCCAAGCATCTTGAAGAGCTTTAGTGCAGAATGTACCCTGTGTCCCTCCCAACTTGAAGGCAGCAGAGTGGAGAAGGTGTTGCTGGCCCCTGGGCAGCAAAGCTGCTCCCAGGCTTGCCCTGCTGCTTAGGTGGAGGCCTGGCAGGCCCAGGAGGCTCTAGCTTAGTCCAAGGTTGAAGTCTGGATAGAAGGCCTAGTTAAACCTGGTGTGCTGAAGGCAGATAGCACTGTCCCCCAATATGTAAGTTGTGGATCATGATCTGCCTAGCAGAGCCTAGGGAAATGATGGCCTAGTCACACAGCTTGTCTTGGGGAATGGCCAGCTTCCCTGACCAGTGGAGCTGAATTGACCCTTGCAGAAACACCCTAGCGTTGGTAGGAGCAGGGTCTTACTTGAGTGGATGGAGGTGCAGGCTGGGAGGTAGAGGCTAAGCAGGATCAGCATGCTCTCCTGAGGCCCTGTGCTGAGAAGTGGGTTAGGCTTGTTGAGACCTCATCACTGGTAAGCAGTCATCTAAGGAGCACTTGCTGGTGTTTCCAGAAACTAGTCTGAGCTACCTCCCAATTCCTGGAGAGCAAGGCACCACTATCCTCTTTACCCACAGAGAAGTGCCCCCCCCCACGAGAGCAGTGTACTCTGGCTGGAGGGAAAAAATGGGTGATGAGCTAGCCCCTGGGAGACAGAGGCAGGTGGATCTCTGTGTTTGAGACCAGCCTTCACTACAGAGTGAAATCCGGGAAGGCTAGGCCTACAAAAAAAATCATCTCAAAAATAAAAATAAATGAATAATAGAAAGCAGGTGCCTCAGAGGGTTTTCTCCAGTTCCCCCTGTCAGCACACACACAGGCTTCAATGACAAGTGTAATGGAAAGCTGAAGTCCATCCCAGTCCCATCATCAGCCAAGAGGCTGGATTGGCTACTCAGGTCACCTGAGGCCCCAATCACCTCCATCTCCCACTAGCTGAGTCCCTTCAACACAAAAAAGACTCAAAAATGTGTATTTCTCATTTTTGAGTTACTCACAGAGCTAACACTGGTGATGCCTCAAGAGTAAAGCCAGTGACACAGCAGAGGATGGTCCGCCTCCTCCAGGCTGCTTGTGGGAGAGATTAGCACATGATGCATCCATTGACAGAATCTAGCAAGCAAACTGGCATGGTGGCACATGTCAGTGGTCCTAGGACAATGCTAGGAGCAGGGGCAGCCTAGGCTGTAGAGTGAGCCTGTTCAAAGCAGAGAGGGGGGAGATCTGCAGAGGCCAGCGGGGGAGAAATGAGGCCATGCTAGACAGCTAGGCAGCACTTGAGCGCCAGCATGCTGGCCTTCCTCTGGGAATAACAGAATGGGCCGGAGAGCTGGGAGGAACCCTGCACAAGCACAGGATGTGGGGTGGAGAAGTCAAGGACTGCTCCCAAGTAAGGATCTGGACAGAGGCTCATGGGGAAGTAGAGAAATGTGTTCTGGTAGGGCTATGTTTAGGGGCTTGCAAAGTGGACAGGGGTCTCTGAACAGAAAAGTCCAGGATGTCTGGGTGATGGAGGCCCATGCCTCTAATTCCAGCACTCAGGAGGCAGAGGCAGAGGCAGATGGATCCCTGAGTTCAAGACCAGCCTGGTCTACACAGCAAGTTCCAGAACAGCCAAGGCTACACAGAAAAACCATCTTGAAATAAATATCTAGAGTTTGAGGCCAGCCTGGTCTATATAGCAAGTTCCAGGACAGCCAGGGCTACACAGAGAAACTCTGTCTCTAAAAAACAGCAACAAAAAAACGAACCAAAAAAAAAAAAATAGCTGGGCAGTGGTGGCCCATGCCTTTGATCCCAGCACTTGGGAGGCAGAGGCAGGCGGATTTCTGAGTTCGAGGACAGCCTGGTCTACAGAGTGAGTTCCAGGATAGCTGGGCTTACACAGAGAAACCCTGTCTCGAAAAACCAAAAAAAAAAAAAAAAAAACCCAAAAACCCCCCCCCCCCCAAAAAAAAAAAAGAAATAGAAATATCTAGGATGATGAGGTGGAATCAGGCTTACCAGCCTGTGGTGGCTTCTGGGGGATGTTCCTGGTAAATGTGCAAGATTTACCAGCCCATTGGCAGTGACTCAGAATGAGAACTTGGAGCATTGTCACAAGCTCAGGCTGTACACAGTCATATTCAGGCCAGGTGGAACAGGGGCGTTCTACCCTCGGTCATAGTTTGCTTTCTCAGACTTTTTTAATTTTTAGAGTTATTAATTTTATGTGAATGTTGTGCCTGCAGAGGCAGAAGAGGGTATCAGATCCCTGGAACAAGAGTTGCAGGTCGCTGTGGACCACCGTGTGGGTTCAGGTCCGTGAACCTGGGTCCTCTGCAAGAGCAATGGGTGCTCTCAACCTTGAGCCATCTCTCCAGCCTGTTGCTGTGATTTTAAAACGCTGAGCAGACCCACCTCGGGAGGAAGAAAAGGTTCTTTGCCTTACACGCCCTGCTCATGCTCCATCATTGAAGGACACGAGGGTAGGAACCATGGAGGACCACTGCTCACCACTCTACTCCAGCCCCGAGGCTTGCTCAGCTTGCTTCTTTAGTTAACTCGGCGCCACTTTCCCAGGGATGACATGGCCTGCAGTGGGCTGAGCCCTCCCACATCAAACAACAATCAAGAAGATGCCCTGTAGACATGCCAACAGGCCAAACCTATGGAGACAATTCCTCAGTTAACATTGCTTCTTCCTAAGTGACTGGTTGTGTCAAGTTAGCGTCACACCTTCTCCACTCTGGCTCAGCAGGCAGAGCCAGGAAGACCTGAGAAAGGGTTTGCAGCTCATACAAATAAGGAACTTCATGGTGAACACAAGGCCTGTGCAAAGGAAATGTTTCTCCCCACCCCCACCCCACCTCCACCGTAGGCAAAAGCCCACTCAAACATCCAGTCTTTCCTCACTTTGCCACCAGCCTTCTGGCTGTAGGGACCAAGGGCCTCGCTCTCCAACCTCAGCTTCCATCTTTACACACAGTCTTTACAATCCTGAGCTGTACTGGCCAAAGAGTACACCCCAGTGAAGGGGGAGGATCAGTTTTCCAGGGGCAGCATATCTATCTGTCTCGGGGTACTGCTAACAGTCCACTAATGCTCAGAGATAAGCCCCTGGGGTGGGAGCACGCAGGGTGGAAAAGAGGAGAGACTTAAAGTGGGATATATGTAGGAGTTACACTGGGATATCTTCCTAGAGCCAGGCCAAAACAGGGCACAAAAGTCTTAGAATTCTGAGAGGTCTCCACATACTTGGGACTCAGGCGGCAACAGAAAGCATGTGAGGGCAAGGCTGATGGAGCGGTACGGTGTGGGCAGGACCTCATGACAAGGGATGGCAAGAATCTCTGTGGGTAGGAGGTACAGAGTGAGACAGACCAGCAGAGGTAAGCTTATGGCCCAGAAGCAGAGCTGTGCCCTGCTGCGAAGGCCTCGGAGAAGCTAGCCTATTGTGAGACCTAATGACCAGGCACAAGTGCTGTGAAGGTAGGCAGGATGACATGGGGCCAAGGCGTCCTCATGCTGGGCAATGGGTGAGTCACCACTGACCCGACGTCCTGGCGCCAAGGTGGGAGAGCCGGCCACTTTTATGGCAGGAAGCCATGAAGGCTGATAAAGGGCAGGGTTGGAAGCCAAGGGCTTCCCACTTCCTGCAGACTGAGCGGTAGGGCCAGGAGACCTGTGGGCATCTGCTTTTTAAGATGCAGGTGTCTAGAGCCTGGCCTGGATGTCTCACAAAATAGGACACATTTGTTCTATGATTTGTCTGGCTGTAACTTTGAATAGTGTGACAAGAGAGGAACTAGCGGGTGCAAGATATCCAGGAGAAGGGTCCTAATCAGAGGCAGTATTGAAGTGGCTGATTCTGGGTCAAGAAGGCAAAGAAGAATGTGGCAGGTGTATCTAACCAGGCTACATGAGGAGTGCACAGGTACCTAGGAGACGGGGCACTCCCTGGAATGGCTCAGTAACCCAGTCTCTGGTGTGACTCCAGATGATGTCTACCGAGCCCCACCCAAAGTCCTACCTATGCTGTCCTCTCAGTGCTGCCCAACGAGTGCAGCCCATGCATCCTCAGCATGCGGCCAGCCATGCTTGGCCACAGCTGCCTAGCCTGCCCACTGACAGAGCCAGGGACTGCTGAGCCTGATCCCCACATCACCAGAGCCACACATCCAGCACTGTTGTCCAGGCACCACGTCTTAAGTCCCTCCCACCCAGCTCCTGGGGTCCCAGGCAGGTGGTTACCACATGGGCATGCTCCCTGCTGGGGCTGGCCTTCTCCCAAGGCTGCCAACACAATGGCTTCAAACAATACAAAAAGAGCAGATGAGCTAAGAATGTCTCATCTGACCCCCTAGCACTCCCAACACCCTTGTGCCATTCCTGTGTGCTGCTCTTTCCCCAGCACTGGCTCCTCCTAGACCCCAGTCTTGCTGCTGCTGCTGCTGCATCTTTTTCTACATCTGGTGGTCAGGACACCTTCCTTGCTTCCATCAGAGCTGAGTTAGAGCCCTCTCAGATCTCAGCAGACTCTGAGGGTCCCTATGTCCCCACCCACTGCATCCTGCTCTCCAGGTTTTTTTTTTTTTTTTTTGTGGAGGGGTAAAGCAGCCAATAGGTCCGAACTTGTTGTGGGGGGGCTGCTTGCTCTTGGAGGGAAAGCAGGAAATTCTGTGGGCTGGGCAGTGCCAAGGAAAGCAGCCCCTTCTCTGTCCCATCTGCCTGGGGTCTGCCAAGACTGCAAATTAGCCATCTTGTTCTACCCAGGAATGGAAGTCTGTCTCAGTTTCCCCAGATTTATGGCTTTTGCCCCTACAGCTGCCATCTCTGTCCCTCCCCCATGGCTCTGTCATTCTGGGACAGCTGAGCTCTTCCTGACAACTACAACAGATGCCTGCCACTTATACTAATCACAGCTCTGTGGGACCATTTAGAGCCGCCTCAGGTTAGGGTGGGGATTTGGGGCTTGGAAAAAACGCAGTTTCAACTGCCCTCCCCTCTGGAGTTGGCTCCGGTGTGAGCTGTCCAGGCCTCCAAAGCAGAAGGCCCAAGGATGTGATTTTTCTAGATATGCTCCCAGAGGGTTCACAGCATCTACTTGGATAGTCCTCAGTGTCGCCGAGAGCAGGAATCTGGCCTGGCTTCTGATGGCTGGCCCTGCTTTCACGTTAAGGGTAAAAGATAGCAAGGAAAGGAAGTGTCTGTCTGAAGCTGATGCTGTTCTAGCCTGGCCCCTGCTGTGCGCATATCCCTGGAGTCTTGGCCGATAGGTTGGTTCCTCAGCCTTTGAGGAAAACCTGATGATACTGCCTGCCACGTAGGCACCCATACCACCCAAAATAATACGAGAGAAGCGCAGCCCTGCGAGGATGTTTCCCAGCATCAATACTGATGACGTCTGATGCTTTGGGAGAAAAAAAAATCAAAACATCACACCAGCTATTAAGAGCCACACAGGAGCCAGAGGTTGGTCAGCGGTACCGGGCAGCACCGGAGGAGTGGCTCACTAGCGGTCCTAGGGGCGGATCCAGAGAGGCGGCCCCGACGCTGCGAGCGATGCTAGGCTCTGGGCGGGGCGGCTCCTCCGCGCGCTCCCGAGATTGGTCCGAAAGCGGGGCGCGCCGACCTCCCATTGGTCCCCAACCACCCACGCTCAGGCCTCAGTGAGCCATGGTCTTCCCGCCGCACGACTGTGGGCTATCGTGGAAGCGCATGGTGGGAAGGGGCGCGCGCACCGTTCCGTGTCTTACTGGGCCCGGCTCGCAGGCTCTTATCAGCGCG